GTATACTTTACTACCAATTACAAGTGATTCATCGCATCTAGTTGTATGCACTTTCTGTTCTTTGAAACAGCTAAATTACTTTTCTTCTTGTAAGGATTGCCAACTTGCAGAAATAAAAATGAAACAACAAATCTGTTTAAATAATTACAATAAAATAATTTTTATTGTTGTTGATCAATAATACATTTAAAATAATAAATATCAAATAGATTATTTCAAATAAATAAATTAGTTTTACATATACAATCTAAAGATTTGTATAATTTGATTTTGGTTTCATTTGATTGGTCCTTAACTGGTTATGCTTAAAAATGAATTTATCTTTGTAGTACATTTCGCTTTTCTAATTATAATAATTATCTTATAAATAAATATATGTAACACGAATTATGTAATTATAATAAAATAAGATATCTATAATTTGGTAAGTTAGCAGAGCCCCACTTTCCTTTAATCATTTTCATTTTCATTTTCATCATATACAATACAATTGTATATCCCGCCAGAAATAATATTTAAATAATTTACGCGTAAGAGCATTTGAATCGGTTATGACCGTTAAACATATCATACAGTGTATAAGCAGTAATATCAAAGAAAATAATTATTTCTCATCGTGTTTTTATTGACAATAATAATAAAAAAAGTTCAAATTATTATTTACAGTTAAAAATGTAAATTATTTGTAGTGAAATGAATGCATAAACAACTTGTTTCATCTACATATAATAACCATTTTCCAAATCATTAAATACAAATTTGTTACTTTTTTAATGTGATTTTTTTTACGAATTTTTCATTTAATCAATTAAAAATAGTAGTAATTTACAAATGCCCAATCTCTCAGGTTTTGATAGGTTTATTTTTAATTGAAGTGTAATTGAAAATTTGAATTTTAAATTGGAATTTTTCAGAGATTGTTATAAAATGGCCAATGTATACTTATGGATTTCAATGATTATATTCATTTTAAGTGAAGCAAATGCAGTAACATTATTTAATTGGTTATGGGGTACACCTTCGGAGGCTCCTACAAATGTTTTAATTGCCGATGGAACACCTTTGATATCAATCCCATACGAAACTATGACAGAAGATGAAAAGTTTTTAAAAGAAGCTGCAAAGCTTACAAATATTCAAGTTTCGTCCCCTTTAGAAACGTGTCAACATAAAGTCATTATGAAAATAAGAACTTCATGTTATGATATGACTGAGGAACAGCTTGCCAAATTGAGTGTCAATTTATTGAATTGTCAATCGGCAGTAGAAGGAAGGAAAATATTTCCCTGTTCAGAAGAGATGGTAAAGATTTTCTCTTCATTTATTTTGTCATCATTTTCTTGAAAATTCCATGAATTATTTGATTACTTACAATACTTAAGTATAATTTAAGGTGGCAATAGTGTTGTCATATTCTTCAAAGGGTGCTCCTGTGCAAGTTCAAACCTGCAATTCCCCCTCTTAACTTATATAACTATGTATGGGACCACCTCAAAGATTCTATAGGCAAAATATTTTATGGGAGTATCCCATATGAAGAAACTTATTTCTCTAAATTTCATTGAGTTTTATTATTTGTTGTCATTCATATCATCTCCAATGGAATTGATATTAATAATATATTACTCTTCTTTGTTCATTTATTATGGAGAATGCTGTAAAATACGACTCGTATATAATAGAAAACATGTAAATGTTAATACGAGTAAAGCTAAATCTCAATTAGAAGATCTCTCACACGTAAGATACATATATACATACTTACTGTTTTTTTCTCTATATGTTTTTCTTTAGTCTCTTAAACAATGCACGACAGATATGGATACAGATACATGGAATGCGTATCATTTGATGAGTAATAGAGCTAGGGCAGTTTGCTACGCTGCTAGAAGTACACAATTTCGTGCTCTTACTGAATTAACGGTCAATAAATTGATGCAAACTGCACATTCACAAATTAAAACATTAATATCTTTAAAGGTGTGCATGAGTAAAATATTTTGTTGAAAATTAAACGGATACAATTAATATATTTTGTGATTCGCAATTAGGAAAGTCAAGATCAATTGGTGGATCAGACAAGCGAAGCGTTGTCTTCTTTATCCGATGGCAACAAAGCATTATTATTGCAACAACAAAATCTAAAAGATGCTCAAATGAGTGCTCACAAGATGGTAACTAATAATCTTAAAAACTTAAATAACGAAAAAGCACTGATTCGTCTAGGTCACGCTCAGATTGCAACCATGGTGGAAGATGTGAAAAGGAAATTAGGTAAATAGATTAGAAGAATTAATTAGAATGAATTTCTTTTTTATCCAAGTGTTATCCAAGTGTGTGATTTAAAGTGTTACGTTAAAATGATATTTTAAAGAAAATGCAAGTAAAGAACTTGTTAAACAATCTGCCGTACACGGGGAAAGTCATAAAGAGATATTACACGACTTAACAAGTATACGTAATCGAGCGCATTTAATTTGGGAAAAGATAGAATCTAGTACTACTCTTATACTCAATCGACATCAGGAAGCTGCCGATCAGTATGAACAAATGATGCAAAAATTGGCGCATATTAATGACACTATTCAGTTCATCTCTAATATTTCTAATAATATGCGTACAGAAATAGAACAGACAATTCGTCAACTAGATTGGATTACAGGCTATATAGGAGATACCGGTATGGTATATACTACTATTAATAATATTCATTTCTATATCTTCATACCATTTAAAATATACAACTATAAGGAAAAATTGGAAATTTGTAGGGGAACAATTACAAAGAATATATCGTACGGTTTTGCATATTGCATATTTATTTACTGCCATGATAACTGCTGCATTTCTTAATGCACCATTTTGGACTAGAGCAGCCATAATGGGCATTGTACCTTTAAATCTTTGTTCTTATTTAAAACATGGTTTAGAGGCTTGTCTTGATTTTGTTTCTATCACTGCATTAATACTTTTAATAACAGGAAGTGAGTAGCCTTCGAAAGAACAAATATTTAAATTATAAATAATTTTAATGTTAAAATATTTATATAACATTTTTTGTTGCTAGTGCATTTTTTGATGAATGGCATACAATACATTTGGAAATCCAAATTTCACAATTCCAAACCAGTTAGATCTATTAATCATAATAGGTTACTTAACGGTGATAATCGTATTCATGTATCGCATTTGGAATCACCTACGAAATCTTTGGATTCTGATCACATTCAAACTTTAATAATGAAGACAATTTGCAACTTTTTTAATGCAATGCTTGATAAAATAAATAGTTTAAAAGGTTTGTTTCCATTTCTATAGTATTTTTAATGATCATTTTGTTCGTATCTATTAGTTTATAATTATGAGCAATATAATTTTATTAATTTAATTATATTAATATATAGATATATATATCTATTATTTTCATAAAAACTTTAAATTTGATTCATTCGGTAGCTTTATGGAGCCGACAAAATTCGTTCATAGAAGAGGAACTTTCTTGCTCATACATACCAGTGAAAAAGTCACACGAAGATATCTATAACTACGATGATAGTTCTAATATGTCTAAAGATATAGAATATAAAGTTGCTAATGATATTAATCATTTCGTAAATACAACAAATGATCTTAGATATCGCTTAAGAGGAATAAATGAGTTTGTTTCTACGACTGAACAAACAAATGTATCTACAAGCTCATCCAGAAGGTAAATGTTTACTATATATTTAGATATTAATGTATATACATTTATATGTTTTTTTTAGTGTTAGCCCGATGCATACAGTACCACGTATTTTATGCAATGGAATGACACGAAATGGAAAAAGATGCCGCTTATATGCAACCACCGGTAATGAATTTTGCTCTCGTCATTCTTCTGGCGCTCTTAATTCTACATCTAATTTAACTCCGTTAAATTGATTTCATTTTTTGTATAATATGAAATATCCAACATACGATTATTCAGTGATATGCAGATAAAATTGTTTATGTGCACTCCTATAAATAGTAATTGTAATTTAAGTAATATAATTCTTTAATTGTAAAAATAAACTATTTATCGCGTCTTTTATTACTAAAGTTATAGAAAAATGATATCGATTTAATAGTTAATGTCATTATATTTATTAACAATACATTTCCAATTTGTATATTATTTTTTAATAAATTGAAAATATACTTACAATAAGATTTCAATTTCGTCTGATATTATATAAAAATAACCTTTATTCGTGTTATCAGAATATGTCTTATCGTCAGATCGATTAATAAAAAAAAATAGCAAAAAGTAAACAAACAATTCGATATGAGCGCCACTTTGACGTAGTGGAGAGAGACGAAAACTGTGATTCGGGGATGTAACCAAAATAACATTGAATGCATACGTATGTGCGTATGTGCATATTACATTAAGCTGCTTTAGATTATATTTAAGACTTTGTTTTACTTGCATTTTTTTTTTTATTTTAAATTATATACAAAGAGTTTAAAGAATGTCCGTTACGATTCGACGAATGTCTCATTTCACTCATGTGTCTGGAATTTATTGGAAAAATTTAAAGAAACAAAGTATTAGATTAATAAGTAATGAAACGACTAAAAAAGAGAAATCAATCAATGATAGTTCCAAAATGAACATTCCGGCTTCTGAGCCGGGTAAATTTCAAGCAGCCACTTTGAATAAATTTGATAATTCATTGATTATACAAAATGTAGAATCATTCAAAACAGCTCAACCAAACGAAGTAACTCATTTGCACATAGTTCATTAATACATGCTCTATTTATTTTAAAACATCCTACATTATCTCCACAGGTTGTTATAGATGTTCATTACTGTACAATTAATCCTTCCGATGTATTATTGAGTAAAAACTTGTACACGTATGAACCAAAATTGCCTATTACACTTGGGTATGAACTTGTTGGCGAATTAGTTCATGTGGGAAAAAATGCGCAAGACAAAGGCTATAAAACTGGGGACAAAGTTATCGCACTTAATAAAGAACGATATGGGGGGTTTGCAGAACAATGCATAGCAGAAGTTGGGGTAAGTTTGTGTCATCCAACCCACACTTCTAACGTTATTATATAAATCTAAACACAAATATTGTATAATATAAACATAATATATTCATTAGGATATTTGGAAAATACCATCAAATTTAAGATCTGTGGATGCCGTATGTTTACTTAATGATTATATGAATGCACTCATTGCATTAGAAAGAGTAGTGACCATAGATGAAAATGATATAATTTTGGTAAATGTGGGATTAAGCGGAATAGGTTTAGCAGCTGCTGATCTTGCAACTAATGTATTTAGATCGCAGGTAATATTCTCGCAAGCACCATTCTAACATATTTTCATACTAAAATTCTTAATTTATAATTTCAGGTTATAGGTATTTGTATTAACAACGATGATGCTATTCTTATTCGCAACAGGGGTGTATTCGCATCTCTAGAATACAATGAGAAAAAATTGTTAAAGCGCATAGAACAAATTGCTGGCGATAAGGACATCAAAGCATTTTTAGATGGAGATGGCGGTGAATATTTTAAGAAGATTTTAAAATGGTACAAATCTTGGTGTTTTCAATAGTATCAAATATAAAATAGACTATTTTAATGTTATTTGTATTTTTAAAGACATTTAGTGTAAAAATGCATTATTTTAGTTTCACTGATATATATAAAAGTGGCACATCATTGAAAAATTTACTACGCGATGATAATTTTACAGTGGTGATACATCATTTATCTCGTGAAGGTATAACATTTTATTTCTAGTATTAATTGTAAGTTTAAGATCATTTACGAAATTATAGCCTCTCTCATGAAGGGCGAGTAGTAATAGCTGGTGCTGCTGCTACCAAAATGGATGCGCAAACAGGAATTGAAGATGGTTCTTTCACTATTACCGGTTTTAATCTCAATGAATATAGAAGAAAGGAACCCGAGAGCTATCGGCAAGTTGTATATTTTCATTAGTTTACATTTTATTATAAATATATACGAGTATCTAATCGAGTTAAGTCAGTTTGCGTAATGGTATTGACAATAATATTTACCTTATATTATTTATATAGGCAAGCTGGAGAAGAAGTCTTGGAATTTTTGGAAGAAGGTCTCATCATTCCAATTCATTCTATGATTTTTGGTCTTCATAAAATCAACGATGCGTTACGTTTTTCTTCCGAAGGAAGAACTTCTGCAAAGGTGAGTAGCAATTTTTAAATTAATTGCAAGAGTCTTGTCAAATATTTTTCAAATATAAATTTCAAATATATATATATATTTATATATATTTCATTTGCAGGTCATTATAGATATTAAGGATAAAGAGAGAGTTGATGTAGCTAAAATTTTCGAATAAACAATTTCATTTTATAATATATCTTACATATTAAATAATACACAGGATAGATAGATAGAATATAATGAAATTTAAGTTTTTTTCATTTAAAAAAGGCTCTCTCTACCTGGTTTATATTAATTTTCGCATATTTAATAAGATAATGAAAACCTTTAAAAAGGTTTACAAATTTATAACGATTGTGATAAAATCTTATTTTTTGTCTGGCACAACTTCACTAATGCCATACATGCCAGCCAATAATCGTCCGTGAGAAGGAGGTACTGGTTCTTTTGGTGGTAAATATGGACCCTTTTCGCCTATATATACATAACTAAATGGATAGAGGTAGTTAAGGTTATTGTATGTATTATAATAATTAAGTATAGAAGATTTGGGTAATTATTTTCGAAGGATACGGTAATCTGAGAACCCAGTAGGCACTTTGTGAAAGTTTGATCGGTTCTTCGCAACCAGTTACAAATATGGGACACGGCGGAGGCCCTGGTTGAACTCGAGGATTTAACGTAACGTGAACTGGAGCTTTTGGAGTCACAACGTGAATCCTCATAAGTTGAGCTATTAAAGGTTGCGTTTGCCTGCATAGACGATAGATATCTCGCGTATTACTGATTATTAAAATGTATAATACAAACGTTGCTTATATTTAATATATACCTGCATGGGCACGGAAAGTAAAGAGGCATATCTGTGGTACTTGACGTTACTTTATTTCCACTATCTTTTACGATTCCATTGCCAGTTGCCTTTAAAACTTTGTCAGGTGCAGATGCCATAAATCTATGACCTCTCGGACATTCGTATTCCACTCCAACAAATATCTTAACAACAAATTCCTTTCCACCTTTGGATTTGCGACCTCGGATCGTGTTAAGATTTTGAAAATTTTTACCTCTTGGGCAATATCCATGAACATTATGATCATTTATAGTAGGCCATAAAGATCCCCTTTCTTTTTGATGCTCCAATCTATTAAACCAATTTATTATTCTTCTAGGAATGATTTTACATTTTGATATTGTTGCTGCATATTGATACATTTAATATTATTAGCTGACATCGGAGCACAATAATTAGTTTAACAAACCTTACTGTTACATCCCATGGTAAAAGGAATGCAGAAGTTGCCAGTACACCTGCTTGATGTTGTAAACCTAAATTATGCGAGTACAAACTGCTTGGGCCAAGACAAACCAGAGACCAACTAGAAAATTGCGGTAATAATCCAGCTGGTGATTCTATATGTAACATCCCTGGTAGATATTCCGTAGTGGATGGCTGTCTCACCAAAGCTTTTTCTGATATATCACGCGTATAGTTTGTCAATTACGTTTAGTAACACAAATTATGTTTAGAACACATTCGCATCTAGTAAAGATGCATTTTTTTCACTTAAAAGTTTATTACCTTTGGTATTTTCTGCATCATCGGAAACTTCTATAACGACTTTGTGACCTTCGCTAGGTGTAAGACTAGTTTTGTTACTTAATCTTGGAACTTCTTCTTCCGTAGGATCACTTTTCATTGGAGAAGGTACACCATTTTCGTATGCTGTAATGTCATCTGTAACATTTATCAATAAATGAGTTCTCCTGAGGAAAGTTTTTCATTTTTTTTTATTCGTATTATGATTATTTAGAGTATTTAATACCATTTAAAATATTTTCAACCCCAAGACTGGAAGGTTGCGTTTGACCTAGAGGGGTGGATAAATTATTTCTACTAAGTGAATCTTTACGATTTGTTGCCGAAAATAATTGTGCTGCTCTAAGAAAATCAAAAATAATATTATAAGATAAGGTATATTATTTTTAATAATATTATTTGGTAGAGAAATAAAATTTACCTGAAATTATGAGTACTAGGCTGAAAAATAGGAAATTGTATACTTTCTAACTGCGTACAGCCACATTGCTTTGCTAACATTTGAAAATAGTCGTAATTAGCCTGTCTTAAACTAAAAGGGTCCTCTCGTGGCCCTTGACATCTTCCACAATTACAAGCACAGATATACCGAACTCCGCTACAGTGTTCCATGATCGGTGAGTCACTGTAAAAAGAAAATATTTATTTTATTATTGCATCAAAACATAAGATCAAAAGATAAATCTATCAAAATGTTCAAAAGAAGACCTATTGTCGCCTCCTGGTTCTAAGTGTTCGCCACCTCCGGCACCTTCGCTGCCTCCTTTATGAATAGGATTTGTACAAGGATTACCAGTTAATGATAATACTTCGCACATTTGTCGTCCGGCTCGCCAATGTTTATCGCATTCTGCTTGTAACTTTTCGCTGAATTCTTCAAATAAAGGACCTCGTGCATGCATTTCAAAAACTCCCATAGCATGTGCCAATTTAGATTCATGATATGCTCTAATAAAATAGCGAGTTAAATCTATAGATTTCATTTAAAATTTCATTGGCAATTGTCTTGTATACGAATGATTACCTTGTATAATGTTGTGGAAGATTTTCTTGATAAGTTTGTAAGGCTCTTGGGAGTACTTTGCTACATCTACTTTTACTGAATTTAACATCGGTATCTAATGAACTATGCAAAGACAGCAATTCTTTGTCCGTTCCGTATATAAAGTATTCGCTAATTTTGTTTATCACATTACAGAATTGCGTTAATGTAGGTATCTATTGAAAAATATTTATACGTAAATATTCACTTTTTAGTGAAATTTGTGCTTTAATAAAGCACATAAGATCAATTAATAATGATCATTGTAACAATAATGATCATTGTAATTGGAATTGTTAGAAAATTCTTATCAACCTCAAAATATGCAGGTACCGAATGTCTACCGACATTATCATCAAAGCCTCTGCCGAAAGCAAGATTTATATGTTGTTGCAGGAGTGATTTGAAACAATGTGTTTCTAAAATTATTCAAATAGCAATAATATGTGCCTTGTAATATGTGTATGTATATATATGTTATTAAGAAACATCATATACCAATTTCAGCATCATCCGTTTCATGATTAGTATCTAAACTGGCAAGACTTCTTGACGTACTACCACCGGAACTAACTTTACAACTTTGAATCAATTTTTTCATCATATAGCCCAAAATATTTCCAGATTCTGTAGCACCATTATGTACATATACAAATTCTTGATTTGCTGGGATTGCAAATAGTGAGTTTGAACTAAATAAAAGAAGAAAACAATGTTAATAAAGTGAAAAAAAAAGAATTGGGCAATCCAAATTTTACCTTATATTTGTAACTATTCGATTTTTTCTTAAAACTTGATAAATTTGATCTTCCAACGAATGTTCCAACTTTTTAATATTTCCTCCGCTATCTGGATCTTGAAATACCATAGGACAACTTTCAAAATAAAATAATACTCTTGGTGAACAAGGTCTAGCATTTGATATCCAATCTTTCGGTATAGTAGATAAGCTACTTAATACATCAGAAAGCTGAGGAGAAACTTTTTGACTGCAACGAAAAGAAATAATTTTTAGAACAATAATTTTATTCGTGCATCATCAAAGTTTTAATGATCTCTTGATCTTTTAATGAACCTCTTTATCTTTGGATAAAATATCTTACCGTATTATATCCATGGCACGAAATAAATGTATATAACTATAATCAAATGTATGTGTTGGATGAGTAAGTATTATTACATGAGATATATGAAATAACACCAACAAAGCTCTAGCATATTTAAATCTCATATGTGCCCATACGCTGAGAAAGTCTTTGCAATCTTGTTTTTCTATAAATCTGTCATATTCAGACAAAAGAGTATGAGAATCCAGGAGTCCCCTTAGATGTAGATACACAGTTTTCTCTTTAGCGTTATAATATCCTTCGATTTCAACCTGTATAATGTTGTTTATATTGTTTTTTTTCTTTAATATAACGCGACTTTTAATATTAGTTAATATTAAATATTTTTACCATAGACATTTCATCTACAGTTGGCTCATCCAAAAGGTCCACTTGGAGGATGGAACTCAGCATATCGGTTTTACATCCTTTCATATGATATCGGGATTTTCCAATTACCGATACAATAACAACCTTTTTATTTGTGTGGTCAAATCTATAATATATCGTTCAGTTTAATTATTTTATTCAAATCAATTTTATATCTAACTACTTACGTTTTAGGGTCAATTGGAAGAGTAAATTTTTGTGGACGCATTTTTATATTTATTCACTTCTTCCCTCAGGATAGGTTATAATAATAAGTAAGTAAATTTTACTAATATTTATAATATTTAATTAATACATATTTACATCGGTAAACAACAATTAGGAATTTTATCCATAAACTAAATTCTACACCTGATGATATTTCAATTGGCATTTAGTTTATAAATTTATTTTGATTGATCGTAGCGACTCATAGTAGTGCAGACCTCTCAATCAAATGTTAAATATACGTTAGTAGTATTTTTATTTATTAAATAGAATCAAACTAAATATTAAAGATAAGGCGATTATTTTTTTTTTTTTCTAAATAATATTTCCTTAAAAAATCACTGGTGTAATGGTAAAACCGGATAAGACCATTAATTAAGTATAAGATCCACTTGAATTTTCCCTCCAAAACAAAAAGCGCCATCTGCAACATAGAGAGCACCATCTACAGTTATTTTATTCTTTATATTTACCGCTAATTTACAAGTTTCTAAACAGTGTCAAGTAATATACTTGTTATATTTATTTTGCTATTATTATTTTCATACAAATTCATTATTTATAATTGATTCTTTAATATAAAATGGTGAATAAATTTTGAAAAATGATTTGATATTTAATGTAGAAAGAATCATCTTTGATTAGATTTAATAGGTTGTTTAGTAACGATATGGACTAGTAATGTAAATAATGGACGGATACTTCCGTGTGGTAATTATTTAAGGTATATTTGATCTATTATTAGATTATTTATATAGATACATATATTTATTCAAGCTCTTCTTAAGAAAGTCATTAAAGTCTAATGATAATTCAACAAATACATCTTATTTATTTGAAAGTTTCTTTATCAACAAATAATAATAATAATAAAATTCGTTTTTATTCCATGAAAAAAAATGGTTTCTTGTTTTTGACTACATCATTCATATCGCTTTTCTTTTATATTATAAGATATGCGGAAAGAAATGGGCAGAACAAAGAGCCGTTTTCTGGATTACATTTATAAACGATGAATTCCTGCTGAAGTAAGGAAAGAATGACATTTGAAGGAACATCCTATCCATATGGTAATCTCTAGGTAAATAAAAGATTTCTTTATTTTTAAATATATTTATTTGGAATAATATAATTGACACGCACACATTAAAGTATTTGTAATCGGTCCTAGAAAGCGCAACGAACTTTAAAGCGATGCTCTGATGAATGAACGAATGAATAAACGAACGGTAGGGGGCGGTAAAAGAAGACGCAGACTTGCGCCCCTCCGAAGGGTGGTGGTTGTGGTGGTGGTGTTGGGTGATGGTACGGGATGGCGCGAGCTTAATTGCACCGCATCACAGAACGTAGTATTTCGTAGTACGTCGTCGTTGCCCGCGCGGCTGCCACTTTAGCCCTGTTTCACGAAGATCGATTTACATACCTATCTTCTTGCACCATTACGTTACACGTAGTTACACGTTGTAGCTGATTCCTAGCGTACGTAAATACTTACAATCAATATAAAATCAACCAAAATAGATTTTACTATCGAATACGAATCGCTGTTAATGCTAGCCTACCAGCTCGAGTTAACCCTCGTTGTTTCGAAGCCCTTAGCATCCAGGAAAGAATTGAAAAAGGTGTGAAAGCTCGCTTGGTATTCATTCAAATGCCACTATGAAACACAAAATTCATTGCGAACTTCTAAGAGAAGATAATAGAATTGGTTGGTCTCTCTTAGAAATGTTCGATTTTTCGATAGAGATCGATTATTAGATAGATAAAAAAAACTTATTCTTAGTAGTTAGATCAATTTCCTAAAGAGTTAATCTCAATTGTAAGAGATTTATACAGAGCTGTTTACAAAGGCGATCAATTGATCACTATCTAGCACAGTTTTCTGCCACATCTCCTGGTGAGTCCTTATTAACAGCAAACCCCCTGAGCGGTCTTTTGCAATCAACGCGCAACAAATGATCTCTGATTGCGAAGAAGGAAATAAAAGAGAGAGAGAGAGAGAGAGAGAGAGAGAGAGAGAAGTCGACCCATTAGAAAGGTTAAGACACTCGAGAAACATAGAAAAGATTTAAAAATACTACTGGATTTGAGGAAGGATTTAAAGACTCGAGTTTGGATTTACTCGCATCTAAACGGAGAAGGAAGAGTATCATAGAGGAAGTCCTTACTCTATAAAAGGAAATAATATCGAGACTATTCGAATGGATCGAAGCAATCAATCGAACATCTAGGAAAAGGAATTTACGCGTTGAATCCTTGGATAGATAAGGAGACGCGTACTGGAGGCACGTAACGTAGATGCTCCTCTAGCTAGGTATACTTTAAGCCTTTGGACAAGGAGAAAGACACGAAGGGATTATTGCGTGGAACGAAAGGATATAAAAGGGAAGGGTCGCCGGTGGTGGGGTCAAGTGAAAAGGCCACGAGTCGGCGTACGTAGTACCTTACTATATGAACATGTATGTATATTCGTAGTATCCCTAGTATTCCTCGTTCCAATGGAATTGGTGCGAGAAAAGGGGCGAGAAAAGGGGCGAGTTGGGTTGGTCGTTGCCTTCCCTCTCTCGTCTGTGTCTCTATATATCGTCACCCTCTCGTCCGTTGTCCACGTCCCGCGATAAAGGAACCGCGTACGCCGGCGTCAGCATGCGCACTTGCTATATCCAACATGTCCGTCTAGGTGACTGACTACAGTTGGTATATGGGGGGTAGTCGTGCTTACGCGGCGCGGCGCGTTGCACAGGGTCTGCTCAAATCGTAATTTCCACTCCCGTCGTTTAAAGTGCTTTTTCTTCGCCTTTGCCTTCGCCTTTGCCTTTGCCTTTGCCTTTGCCTTCGCCTTCGCCTTTGCCTTCTTTGCCTTCGCCTTTGCCTTCGTCTTCACATAATCGCCGTGCGTTACTTTTATCTCTACATTATAATCCATCGAACTGTTTCTTTTTCACATCTATGGACTTTGGCGAAATAGGCAATATATAGAGAGATAGGATCGTAGAAATTGGCTGGCGCTCATAAATGTGATAGAAAAAGTCTAGAGAGTAGTGTTCACCGGTTACACGGTTAAATTGTGAAGACGAGAAGGAAGATAGAGCTAGGGGAAGAGTTAGGGAGAGGGAGAGAGAGGGCTGGGCGAACGGGTGGGAAAGAACGAGAGAGACTACTCGAGGCAGGCGGGCGTATTGATTCCCGCGTGGCGTTATACGGCGAGGTGAGAAAGCTGCAAGCGGAAGATTCCTCCTGGTTCCTTCATCGGCAAAGAGAAACGCCAAAAGAAAAGAAAAAGAAAAGAAACAAAAGGATCTCTGTTAATTGGAATTAACCAAAAAGTGGGCCGGTTAGAGTTGCATCGAGGAACGGCGGGGCGGTCCCTGACTTTTTTCACGAGATTCTCTCAAAGGTACGTTTCAAATCCTTGCTTATAATCCAACGAACGAACCTGCTTTTACGGGTGCGCGCGAGCGAGCGAGCAAGTGAACGAACGAACGAGCGAACAAACGAATAAATGAAAGTACTAATAAACGAAGGAAGGAAGGAAGAAAGAAAGGAAGGAAGGAAGGAAGGAAAAAGGAGCGTGGGTTTGTTCGAGCGCGCGCATCAACTCGATCACTCGTCGTCCTTTACGTTCTACGTTTTTACATTTATACGCGCGTTCTTTGAACCAAGACAAAAAGAGATAGATAGATTAGGGGGTGGCTCGGTGGGAGCGAGAGGGAAGATGGTGGAAGCTACTCTCGAAAAAAGGGTATATCGATCGGTTGGTCCGGGACCATCGGCTGGCACGCCACCACAATTCTCTGCTGGTAGCTCTGCTCTGCTTTGCTCTGCTTTGCTCTGCTTTGCTCCTCCACTTTTTCCTTCTTTTGACCCTTTGATTCTATGTATTTCCGCGCATTTCCAGGGTAGGTAGCCCCTTGTTGCTGCTGATGCTGCTACCGGCAGTTACCCTTAAGCTCCCATATCTCTTATCGATCGAAGACCGGCTCCATTTGCTTACGATACAAGCGTACGAGCTATGAATTGTTTTTTTTGCTTTTTTTTATTTCTACGAGCGTTTCTTTATACACATGATATTGATTCTCGCGAGAAGGTGTAGAAAAGTTTACGAGAGGAAACAGAAAGGAGAGTGGGGGGAAGCAAAGAAGATCTGGATTTGGAGGCTATATAGAAGAGAGGTTTACGCGAGACACGTGTTGATTGGCGTAGAGAAAAAGTAGTGAAAAGTAGTAAACACGTGGATGAACTTCTCTCTCCTTCCTTTTTATATTAGCAATCGGAATTTTTGTTTTGGATAAATAATTGTAAGCTTCCAAGTATTGTGTTATATACGTGTATATATCGACGTTTAGGTCGTCTATATTTGCTATACGAGTATTTGCTTGTGCCTAGGCGTACGAAGGAGATAGTATCGATCGGTGCTATATAGTATCTATCGCAAGAAAGTATATCACTCTAATCCTGTCATTTTCTCTTGTGCTTAGGAGAAGAGAGCTTAACACGTGGACCAGAATGAAAGAATCTATCAGACACTGGTCGTGCAGCGATACTTTGGTCCTTCACGCGAGAAATGCTTTTTAGAAGGTATATTATAAGGATTATTATATTCCATTATTATATAAGATTTCTCTTATTATGTCTTGACCATATTCATTTACTTACGTTTACCCAGAGTATATTTCGTTATTAATCGATTACTCTGGAAATATGTAGTTATCCAAGTGATTCTATATGTATGATCGGTTTCTACGTTGTTCTGTAATATTTATTATTAATAACTCTTTAATTTAATACTCTACCGTAAAAATATTTATTTTCAGAGTTGTATCGTATTGATTGAATCCTTTCTAATCTTTTCTTTTTTCTTTTTTCTTTTTTTTTACTGTTTCTTACGAAACTGATATCATCCATTTTTGTATAGTTATTGCTGGTATATGTTCACCTACTTTCCATTCTTTTTTATTTTTTGATAGCAACGCGTTTTAAACGAGTGACATCTTCTCTAAATGCATCTGATGGCGTAGTGCATCAGATAGAACGCGTTTAAAAGGATTGGATGAAATCTTGCATTACCCTGAATCCCAATATCTTGCATAATGCAACATTTATCATTTTATTTTTAACTGGAAGTTTTGCCATTATATGTATACATTATTTGACATTTTTTATATTTCTCAAATTGGAGGTAAAACGAAACGAAACGAATCGATAGAGAATTAATTTTAATGGGAGGGTCAAGATTACAACTAATCTTTTTCAACGGGTTTACGAATTTTATCGATTTGTTCAACGAATTACCGTAACCGGATGCGCGAAATGCCATATAAATAGAGCTTAAGAAAATTGGAGCAGCTATTATTAGGTCATCGTCGGTCGTAACGATGACGCGAGATAGGTCCTTTGCGATCACGCACGATCGATCGGCTTACTTATACTTTTTTCCACGAATACAATTTTAGGACAAATATATGCGAACGTATATGGTGTCATTTATAGCTAATGAATAGGAAAGTGGGTTAACTGAGATATAATTCCTAAGACAAAGATGCGAACAATCTGCCCTTACTCCGTTCGATTTCTATTTCTACTAAATTCGATTTGACATTTCCTCTTCCAGGAAGAGGGCATGACGCACCGAACTCATGCAGTGGCGAAAACACGTGCGCATCAAGTACGGTGGTCGAGTCGGTGTCGGTCAAGGACAGCAGGATCGGGATCAGGTGCAGCTGCAGGTGCGCGTGGTGCAGCTGCAGCGGGAAGGGGGCGCACGACTCAGCTACGTCTGTCATCAGCCTCAACTCTCGTCTACGGCTCACCGCGATTGCAGTGCAGCAGCCATGCTCTGCTGCGGCCGGAGGAAAGTAAGTGCTTCTCTTACTTCTTTTCAACCACCTTCTTATCAACCACCTTCATCAATCCAACGTGCCACCCTTTTGACCTTTTTTACCGGATTTCATTCGGGTTGCGAATGAAAGTCGTTTCATTCTGTCGCCTTGATACAATTGCTTCGTTAAATTGAAACTGTCTCGGTAAATCGTATCGAGAAGTTCAATGAAAATAACGCACTTTCTTTGGGATTTTCCCAAATATTTAATACGATCTTCATTTTGTCGCGTTAAATTAGCGGATTTTCTTTTCCGAATAGGTGGAACGCGCAATCGTCATTTCGTATAATCAGCTAACTAGGAGTCACGGGAACATCGGAACAAAGAATTTTCTCCTTTTTTCTTTTTTCCTACTTCTGCTCATTTTTTCTAGCGTTCTTTTCGGTTGCAATTCATGCACGGCTGGGCTCGTGACAAATAGGAACATGTGAAATTTCACGTATAAATGAAAATTACGCATGTATGCGTGTTGCGAGAATATAAAGAAATGAGCGTTACGCAGGTTAGTACTTGTTCCACTCTTTGATCTAAACGGTTCGAAAGATAAAAACGAAGAGCGTAGGGAAGCATCGATTTTTAGGAAAGAGAGGAGACCGAGTGTCATATATTCTGAAATCCATTAAAATTTTGCAAATGGTGCAATAACATAATAAGCAACGAGGACAACGACAACGGAAGGGAAGAACATAACCATCTATTACGAGGCTCTCTAAGCTCGCTTCGGCGTCATCGTATAATTAATTAGACGCTAGTCGATAAGGGTTTCCATCTAAGGGAGTAACTCGTTGTCGAAATTCTTTACAAGATGTACAATCTTTCTATCTTTCTTTCTATTTTTCTTTTTTCTCTTTTCCATGTTATTTTTCGCACTTTAGCACGATTTTGATGAAAACTTTAGGTTTCCTCGAAAGTGTGCACATTATGTGCTAATCAAAATCAACGTGGACGCGAATGAATGTCGAGGGAAAAATACAGAAGAAAGTTAAACGAGAGAGAGAGAGAGAGAGAGAGAGAGAGAAAGCCCAAATGACGTTGCAACTTGAAGCTTCGTTATTCGAAGCTTGAACGCGCCGAGCGCAATTTATGTGAGGAGGACCGTAGCAGAGTTATGGAGCTGGAGCTCTCCTACTCGGATAATTTCGAGTGTTCGCTCAGCAACCTCCATTATTTCCTACAAATTTTATTCTTCACTTTTAATAAGCGCAACTCTTCGTCCACTTTTTCTCTTTTTGTCCTCGTATTGCACAACGACCATGGTAAATAAATGGAAGAATTTCGAGCTCATAGAAATGCTCGATTCTTCTTCTATAGTAAAGATCCGATAGACAAGAATGGCGTGTAGTCTACCAGGTGAATTCGTGGAAATACATATCGAACGTAGTAGGAGATACTTAAAATAATGAAAATATAGGAATTACTCGTCTATCATTCAGTCTGACCCAAATTCTATCTTGACGTAGAATGCCACACGCGTGATTTCAGGTTAAACTTTCGTCTAACAAGTGGCTTTTTTGTTTTTTTAAGTGTTTATTTTGTGTTATCTTCGAACCCTAATAATTAGGTTGAAAGCGTTAATAAACGCAAGTCGAATGCAAGCTTTTTCTATTTCATTGTTTGATTTGTACGATAGATTACTAGCGACAGAGAGAAAGATCAAAGGCAAACTCGAAGTAACAGTAGTAGGGACGGACATCTTTGATTCAGCAATAAGCAGTAATGGACGTTCGTTCATCAAACAACAACGGGCTTTGACCTCTCGCGAATACCTACATTTTACATTTTACATTTTACATTAACTACTGTGCTCTCCATTCGTAAAAGCTTCAAAAGGTGGACACAAAGTAGATGGAATATCATCTTGAGTATCGTCAAATCGTCGACTGTACTCTACTTAAAATAGTAGGGTTATTTCAATAGAGAATAAAAAAGTACTCCTTTCTTTTTTTTTTTCTTTCTTATAATTAGGTATATCGAGGAAATGACAAACAATAAATCTGTTATTGATCTTTCCCTATCAATGGCACGTAAAGTACGGCCAGTGAACGATGATCTTCGCTAAGCCACATTAATGAACAGCCGTCGTCTATCTCGGCATACTCTAATGCGAAATCAATATCTAATTACCTCCCATCACAACCTTATCCATCTTACTAGCCTCTTTATACCCAGCGGTCGGTACACTGGCCTTTGAGTATTTCAAAATTCCTCTTCTTTATATCCTCGACGTGGAAAGTCGAGGGTGGAGCAGAGGATGGAGCAGAGGATGGAATTTGTTTCTTTGTACACGTGACACACAGTAAGCCACCCTTAGAGTTTCCAACCGAGCCATTAACCCGTCGGGGAAGGTTGCATAATTGAGGACTAATTGTCGCCTCGCCTAGACATGCCATACAACTGGGGGGAAAAAAAAGATGAAGAGGATGAATATAAAATATAGGTGGTGGGTTAGAGGTGAGCAAGGAAAAGAAGAGAACGAAAAAAATAGGGCAGAAGCGTGGAATGTCTCTTTGATTTTCAGCTGGGCCGCAATTATCCCTCTTGCACGTTCCACATACCCGGAACTAGAGCAGTTGGATCGTTACGATCCCTTTTCTCTTTTCTCTTTTATCTTTTATCTTTTCCATCTCTTTCTTATGGTTCTTGTCTTCCACGTGAAAATCTATGAAAAGATATAGAAAATCTTGTAGTTGATACGATGTGCTCGATTAAATATATCGAATTGTGGTCGATGAACATTCCTACAACCTAAAATACCACTCGCATTTTATTGCATCGAATTTCATTCGAAATGCGTTTCAATTTGGGATTGAAAATATTTCACATGGAATTTGACTTTAGACTCATTGCATAATACGTATTTTTTTCGTATGAAGAACAATACAACAAATATCAATGTGATTGCAAATTGTCTAGATATACGATCTAGATATACGGTCTAGATATACGGTCTAGATATACATTCTAGATATACGGTCACACGTATGGTCATTCCCGAATGAAACGAAGCTACTTTTACCTTTAGCTAACAATAAGTTCTGCCTCTTGAAGAGGTCATCTCTTTAAAAAACCATCAAGCGTTGATTTTTTTGGCCCCCACAGATTTGGAAACAGATAAAATATAGATTATATATAGGTTTCTATAGAAGAGGTATGTACTTCGCGCACGATTGGGCACGATATCGAATAAAGGTCGATAGAGCTATCGATAAAGCTATCGATAAAGCTTCGAAAAACGGATCCGATTCTTAGGCGATATCTTCCGAGTGACCCCCTCCACCCTCTATTCGATTTCGTCTCCAGAGTCAAAAGTGCCCTTGTCTCGGCCTTTTCTCTCTAGTCTACCTTCAAAGCTCTTCTTTCATAAGAGTTTGCCATTCGTGTATCTATCGAGAGGGATTCGCACGGGAGCTCAAGTCCTTTGTGTATAAGCGTCCAAGTCCAAGTATCGAATCTATGCTACTTTTCGAATTTTTATGAACAGCTCTATCTAGCTCTTTGGCCGATTGATCACAAGGTAACACACAAGGAAAGGACACACAAAGAATGTATTAAAAGAAGTATCTATTATATTTTATTCCATTTAAAAAATGATATTACAAATGTACGTTCCACGTCATTACGTGAAATATCATAGCGTCAAGAAAGGTCAAGATTATCTCAGCTTCAGAAGGAGTCTTTTTTATTTATAGAATACCGATTATCGATTTTCCCCTTTTCTCCCTATTCTAACTAATTTCAAGTTGTATCCTTGTAACTACGATCTCTTTCGTTTAAATCGTCGAGAATAAAAATCAATCCAGATGATGATGGCTTATCAATTTGCATCAGTTAGGAGCGTTAGCTCGCTAATTAGGAAACTTGCTCTCTCTCTCTTCGGCTTATAGTTGACACACACACTTTTTTTTTCCTATTCTACACCTTCCTGTATATCTTTGCATAGTTGTCTGTTGCATAGCACTCGTAAGTGCTGTCGTCTATATATCCTGCGCTATACAGCCCAGCTAAAATGGAACTAGCTAAAAAGCATATATGAACACGTATACGTATACACGTTCACGGTCAGCAGGTATTTATCGTATGCATACCACCAACGCATGCAGCACCAACATATCGTGTGGCGTATCGCATGGCGTATCGCATGGCGTATCGCATGGCGTATCGTTCGGTCTATCGTGTGGGTTCGCGTAGAAACACGTGGTCGACCGGGGGTTAACCCATTTGCACATGCGCTTTCGCTTACGCACAAATTCACACAATAATATACATCTATATAAATAAAAATTCAGTGTCACATTGTTGGTTTGTGATGAACTCATAAACTACTCAACCAATTTTAATAACATTTTTTTTTATTTTCTGTGATTCTTTCCAACTTAGAATATAGGATAGTTTTTATCGCGATTATTTTTCATTTTTTATCGCAGATAATTTGATTAATTTGACTGCATTGAGTAATTTAGAATTATAATTAAATCAACGTTTTATAAAAAAGCTACAGCAACGCATGGCCGGAGCACCCTAATACATATATATATATATATATAGAGAGAGAGAGAGAGAGAGAGAGAGAGAGAGAGAGTAAGCAAAAGTTCATCCGCTTGTCCAAAACCAGCACGTCGCTGATTCTTTTTTAAAAGCAGAGACGTTTACTACTCGAAAACGTACGCGCATCGTCGTAGTCGCGTAAACGTAAAATTTAAGAGCGCAAGCGCTATCGACTTGTCTTCCCCTGTACGTCAGCTAAACTGGTGGGTACAAGTTGAATCGAGCTTTCCAGGTCCATGAGAACGCAAGCGCTCTGATTACGAGCCGACATCGTATTGCAGGATTCTACCGATCCTCTTCCTACCCCCGTTCCTTCTCTTCCTATCCCTTACTGTCTTTGGATCTCCCTGCCACTCCCCTTTTTCAACCCTCGATGGCCGTACGTGCGTACGCCTGCGTATACGTCGCTACTACTTAATACCACGTTTTACTACTGATTGTGATACTTACGTCCTACTACTACTACTACTACTGCTACTACTACTACTACTACTACTACTACTACTACTACTACTACTATGCGCAATGGCGTAACCATTCGTTTTTTTCATTTTTATTTTTTCTTTTCGAAATTATTTCTAAGTCTAACTTTATTTTATTGATGCTATCGTATTTGCTAATTTAAAGATTAGCACCTCGTTTGACAATGAGAAAGGAAGGAAAGGAAAGAATTGAGTAAAGGGGGAGAGAAAAAAAAATGTATCGAGAGGAAATCAGGGACGGAGAACCGTCAATGTTGAACGAGGACATGGATGGACGTTGAAGAAAAAAAAAAGGTAGAAGGAGATAGTGGACGGACGCGAAACAGGAAAGAGGTTGTACGGTGACGTCATTGCGAATCGATACTCACCCACCCTCCGTGCTTTGCAAGAATATGGGAGAAAGAGGGTGTTGGGGAGCGCGTGCGCGACTCCTATACGCTTCCGAGTATTTCTTCCCGCCATATTAACCGTTATGGGGTGGCTCGGGGGACCTGTAATTGGCCCCCTAAATCGGGCCTCCCGGCATACATAAATAGTACATTACATCTCTTTTCTCGTAGTCAAAATGTGAAGGGATATACTAATACTACTAATTGAGATTGTAGACGATATATTTTCATGAATTAATAAATGAATTAATAAAATTCGTATTATCGTAGGAGGGCCGAGTGGAAGTGACAGACATAAGCGCAAGTCCTGGGAGACAAGCACCTACCAACCAGTTGCGCCCCAAAGAACCACCATCTTTAGTCATCCAGGGAGATTTCCGAAAAGTAATCATTTGAAATAAAGGACATTTTCTTGAAGTTAACAAAGTCGATCTTTGTGAAATTGGACCAAAAGATAAATTCTAAAAGCGAGCGAGATTTTTGACATGGATAAGAAAAGATAAATATGATGGCTTCATTTAGGACGCATTTAGGATGTATTCAAGGGCCGATTTCACAAAAGCGTATCCTCCGAAAGATCTTATCTCCGTTATACTTCCTGAAGCGGAAAGACGTTTTGTTGCAGATAAGCGGTATAAGTTCGGAAATCTTCAAGCAAATCGAAACGGTCGAGAACGATCATGACGCTTCGACAGCAGCTGCCCTCGAAGCTGTGGAACGACGGGGTGACATGGTCGTTCGTGTCATCGAACCCCGACAAATGGGCAGACAAGCGTCCGAAGCGGCCAAGAAATTTATTTCGATGCAGGTTCGTTGTCTGAGTATTTCTAAGAATTGCGTCTAACGTCGAGATTCTGTTAGAGCCAACGTCTTGTATTTCCTCTTTTTAGGATCCTAAACATCCCATAGATTTTGTTGAGATAATTAAAAGGCCGGGTCAGACGCTTGGTTTATACATACGCGAAGGTAATGGCATGGACAGAAGCGACGGAGTATTTATCTCAAGGATAGCATTGGAAACAGCAGTTTATAACAGCGGTTGTTTGAAGGTAACAATTTCAATCGTTCCACTTTGCTTCGTTATTTATTTTTATTTGGTTGCATACTTAGTATTTATCTTTTAAATGTCGCCTAGGTGGGTGACGAGATTCTCGCGGTAAATTTAGTGGACGTGACACATATGAGCCTAGACGACGTAGTTATTATTATGTCGATACCAAGGAGGCTCGTTTTGTCGACCCGACACGGTCCACATCAAGCTGTCTCTCATAGTCGTCAAGTTGAGCACAAAGCACCACCGGTGGTAGTGATCAAGAGGGAACTGAACGAAGACGAGAGCGATCATGCTACCAGCAATCACGTCAGGTATCGAATTATCTCATATATGATATATCATGTAACGATACTATAGCATATATTTTCCCGATAAGCAGAGATAGCAGTCGCAGGCGAGGCGACGGACGAGAAATGTTGCCCTCTCGGTCGCGATTAGGTCTAACTGGTTTAGGATCGAGTCAAGATTTGGGTTCCAGTAATGGTGATCTTTATTACAATTCGAGACCGGAAGGACATTGGTCTTATCAACCGCCTCCACCGCCAGTTATCACGCATCAACCGAAACCTGCCACCGCACAACATTTTCAACCTTATGAGCGTGGTTATCCAAAGACTTTGGAAAGTCTAGCAGAGAAAGTAAGTTTCCCTCGAGCTACGGATGAACAACGTCGTTCATCTAAGAAAAACTTGACACAGTTCGAGATTCTTAATCTTCGTTCGAAATAATTAACTTAATCAATCAAAATAATAATTATTCGAGATATTTATTATTGATCGATAATTAATCTCGATCTGACGTCTCGTGTAGATACACTATACATAGATGTTCTAGACGATGTGGATCGAGCACCCTTTCATATACCTATCTGCACCGATTTGACACTTCTTTTCCCTTATCTATCTCCAATAAACGCTACATTACAGTACTAAGAAAGTGGTGAATTGTGAATATTGTCTCGAGACACTCTCCGATAGAAATCAAGAGTGATCATTGCACTTTTATTGCTACACGATCTCCGAGTCTTTCGGATAATTATAAATGAATAATAAATTGTTGCAATATCAAAATAATTGCAAGATATACAATGTCATTAAAATACATATGTCGTTAAATAAAACACAATTAATAATGTTTTGCATGCTTGTACGAGACGAGAGCTTTCGCTTCTATGTCTGCTTGATTCTTTAATGTTATCAAAATGAAAACTCTATGTATTTCCGAACGGCACGGAGTGTCGATCTTTTTACGACACCGACGTTCGTCTTTCGATGTCGTCTTTCGATGTCGTCTTTCATATAACTAATCGGTTCTATGAATGAATGCTACATTGAAATTAACCAGGATTTTACGAAGGTAAAGACAACACTAACTCTTTCTTCATATCTAGACTTGTGTATAGGTATAAGTGCAATTTTTCGTACTGTACGCGACACGAAAATTCGAGTCATCATATATTTATATTTCTACTCGATCATTATTGTCATTAACAAACGTATGCATTGGCCATTTTTCATTATTCTCCTCCTTCCTCTCATATTATTTCATTTACAACACACAAAATAATACCATGTAACAATGTGACACTGTATTTTTATGTATAAACATTTCCATTATTACGATGCATACGTTTGTCCGATCATTGTCATGATACCAAATGTAAATACAAAAAAAAAAACAAAAATGTCGCGTACGGGTACAGCTATATATTTGTAACGTAAACCCTACTCTCTTCTCTTTTTGTTGCCTCGTACATATGCTTGCTGTGCATTCCTTCTATCGTTTTCTTTCTCATGCTGCATTTTGAATCTCATTATATTATATCTTTTACGTCTCATTCTATCCGTAACCGTTCGTTCGTTCATTCATTCATTCGACATTATGATTGATCGCTCGTCTTTCAATTATTTCTCATTTTCTTGCGTATTATATATAATATTTGGTGCAACAATTACTCATAGCGTTTGCTGACCAATCATAGTGTCAATGAAATTGTTCAATGGGAAACATCGAAGCTCGATTATCGTCAACTACAATTCTAAATATATATATATTTATATTGCCACCTCTATTGTCGAGACTTTTCTCAATAGATAATCTATTCGACCTTAATATTTCCAAGTTGACAATAGTTCGAGGTTTGAAATAAATGCCAATAAATAATTTGTAACATGTCGATAATGTAAGAGAGAGAGAGAGAGAGATGTAATATGGTACCACAAAATAGGTACACTCCTTCTATACCGGGCCAGTAATGCCCTCGAACGACGGCCGCCGAATGTCCACTGGTGGCGGAATGCAATCGGTCGCAGGAAGATTGTCAAGTCAAGCTCAGTCATCTCATTATGGTTATTCTCAGCACACCGGAAGTGGAAGAATGATTCCCAGAAGTGGTTCGGATCAACATTTGCCACGGGTCGATTACGCTAGCATAACGATGCCAGCTCGTCATACTCTTCTCAGGTCGAGTTTAAAATCAGGTATATAGGATATTAAATTTATTTTCATTATTCATAAGGATGGTGGTCAGAACAATTGTTACCTTTTTTATGTAGGAACATCAGCATTGCGATATAATACTAGATACGGAACGCAAGCCGACACGCCGTCGATTACACCAAGACGAAATCCAGTTGGTACTCTAACTAGAAGGCACAGACCATCTTTGGATTATGCTTCCGATACCGAGGCTACCTGCTCGAGTTCACCTAAATCTGCCTACTATTATTATAGACATAATATGAATAATCCACCATCCAGCAGTGCCGTATCGCATCTTGCTACGCTTTCAAGATCGCAAATTGGTCAGGGTATGACGGGTAAATTGATTTTTAAATAATCCCTTATTTTTTCTTTCTTTCTCTCTCTCTCTCTCTATATATATATATATATATATATATATNTATATATATATATATATATATATATATATATATTTTTGCATCGTTCTTTTTCTCTAGGATTAAGATCAAACTCTTTACCTCGAAGTGGTAGAACGTTGCCGCAACAGCCAGGTATCAGGTCAGGTCTCAGTACTGTAGCATCGGGATTGATAGATCAGGAAGACAGCGACGGTGCTTTATCGGCTCCAGAATTGCCTTCGATCAGACGGGATAGAGGTAACTATATGAAATAAAAGAAATAGCAAAATCATGAGAAAAACATCTTCTTGATACGCAGGTAGGATACCATCGTCCCCTAGCGTATTCACTTCCGACGAATATCGAGCGTGGCTGAGCAGAACTCCTAGCACAAGTGCACTGTACGAACAAATCAGAGCAACCACGAACCGACCACCTCGTTATACCTATAGCGCCGAAAATATTCACGCAGCAGCCAATCAAGTAAATTATTTCATTAATCGATCGACGCGGAAACGTTTTCAACGTTTGTCTTATCATTAATCTATATCTTAGGGCGATTATGGTAGTTATGGAGCGTACAGGCCACTTTCGAGTACGTTGGATCGACTCTCAACGAGGTCAGCGTCGGCGCAACAAGTTAATTTAGCAAATTTAAGAGCATCGACGGCGATTAGTTCGACGTGTCATCGGGGTACAGGCAATCCTAGGCCGGCATCGGTGGCTACAAGCGCACGTTCCTCCTTGACCAGTCAAAAGCCGTCGTTAGGAAGCTCTGCGAGTCAAAGAACTACGTCTGTTAGAAGAATTAGAAATTTATTAGACCTTGAATCTACGAGAAGTATACCGACTCCTACACCTACCAGAACTCAGGATCAAAGACTGCTAGATATTAATCCTGCAGGTAAGCGATTATCTAACTTTAACGCAATCATCTTTTCTATTCTTTTTCTACACTTTTGTAGAGTTCCTCAAGTATAAGATAGAAAAGCCACCGACGGTGGGTACTCCGAGCTCGACCAGTTCCCTTTTGAGTTCGCTCGGAGAAACCAGCGGTGGTGATCTGGCAGGTGGGGTCAGTGGATTGCTCTGGGTACACCTATTGGCAGGACGTGGCCTTCGTTCGACTACAACCTCCTCGGCAGCAACTACGCCCTCTACGCCATCGGGTCAGCCTAATTTAGGTATGCCAAAAGATTAGCTCGAACAAATATTAACTAATGCTGTCTATATACGTAGGTTGGAACTTAAATAGTGGCAACTATTTATTCACAACCAATACAAAAGAGTTACATGTGTGCACCTGTTACTGTCCTTCAAAGTAGTCACTAGGGTTGTGTAGAATCCGTTGCCAGCGATTTGGAAGGCGTAGTATACCATCAACAGAATAGGCTCTGCTAACGGTATACTACGCCTTCCAAATCGCTGGCAACGGATTCTACACAACCCTAGTGACTACTTTGAAGGACAGTAACAGGTGCACACATGTAACTCTTTTGTATCGGTTGTGAATAAATAGTTGTCACTATTTAAGTTCCAACCTACGTATATATATATATATATATAGATATATATGTCTACGAATTATTCTACAAATATTATTAATTGGTTAACAGCTAGTTGTGGCCTGAGAGACTTATATTGCGTACTGGAATGTGACAGAGTACACAAAGCACGAACTGTCGTGCGAACGGGTGATTTGATGTTCGATTGGGACGAAACCTTCGAGCTGGATCTCGTAGGAAATCGGCAGCTGGATCTGCTTGTTTATTCTTGGGACCCACAATACCGGCACAAACTCTGTTACAAAGGATCCGTACACTTGGCTACTCTGCTTAAAGAAGCGGCGGTGCATCAGTTGGCCGTTAAAGTCGAACCTCGAGGTACAATCTATTTAAGACTGCGATATACCGATGCCCAGCAGACCTTTAGACGCAGAGGATTACCAGTTATATCTCTTGCTACTCGTGTAGCACCTTTGTTCGGAGTTGATCTCGATACCGTTGTAAGTTTCATTATATGCCTTACATTAGCCTAATTATCGCAATATTCAAAAAACCCCGTTATATTCAATCGGATTTGAATGCTACATATCAGGTTAGTCGAGAGTCAAAGACTGGAGGAGTTCCTGGTGGTGTTTCCACGGCACTAGCAATGGGAGTTCCAAATGTACCAATAATTGTTTGGCGATGTGTCGAGGAAGTCGAAAGGAGAGGCCTCGATATTATAGGTCTGTACATTAACTAATTTTATGTCCCAATCAAGATAAGTAATAGAAACACATTTCGAATTTCTATACGTTACAGGTTTATACAGACTTTGTGGGTCGGCTAGTAAAAAGAGAATATTAAGAGAAGCTTTTGAACGAAATGCACGATCGGTCAATCTGTCACCTGACAATGTACCAGATATAAACGTTATTACCGGTAAGTTTAAAGCAAAGTATTTTTATTTTAATCGAACAAAATTAAAACAAATCCGATTTTTTTATAGGTGTATTGAAAGATTACTTACGAGAACTTCCGGAACCATTATTTACAAAATGTCTTTATCAAATGATGGTCGATGCGTTGGCCGTTTGTTTGCCCGACGATCCGCAAGGCAACGCTAAACTTATGTTCAGTATATTGGATTGCCTACCAAAAGTTAACAGAGTAAGTCGAATAAACATTTATCGATAAATCAAAAGGATCTTTTGCCTATATACATATAATAATATAGTATTCAATCTATAATCATCTAAAACAATTACTTGTCTCGATTGCAGTGTACTTTAATTTACTTGTTAGACCATTTGGCAATGGTCGTTTCTCAATGTAACAAAATGTCACCAGCGAGTTTGGCTGTCTGTTTTGGACCGGTACTAATGTTACACTCCGAAGAAAATGGCCCACCATTGGATTTCCAACAACCGATTGCCGTATTAAAATATCTTTTGGAAATATGGCCAATTAAGTCAGGTAATGATATCATTTACTTCTATTCGTTATGAATTATTTTTCTTTTAATCCACGATATTGTTGAAATTTAGCAATGGAACGAATAAGAGCCGAGTAATCAGACACTCATTTCACAGACAGTTCGGAAGACTTCTTCAGTCGGTTCAGCGCTTCCTCGAGTTACGCCAGCAATCGAGCACAGCAACAGTCAGCAACAAGTGGAACAACATCATCAACAGCAGCAGCAGCAGCAGCAGGTTCAACAACAGGTGCAACAGCAGGTACAGGGAACATTGGGACGAACAGGGCTGCTTTGGCAGCAGCTACCCTCACTTCATCGTCCACCCCAAACTACAGTAGCCGAAGCCCTCGCACCCTCCATTCGTCCTCCTCCACCGCCACCAATCAAGCCTCGACAGGTGCGTTGCACAGACAATTAACGTCGATGTGTTCGGCTGTATTAAATGTTAATCATATTTAAAATAATAGTACCTAGTACAAAAAACAAAAAAAAAAGGAAAAAAAAGGAAAAAAAAAGAAAAAGGTCGATTTTCTGGCACTGAATCAGCTCCGTAAATCAGCTGCGCAAACGCATTACGAATTTCATTCGAAATATTATAAAGATTCGAATAAATGTTGAATCATTTAGCGTTTAAAGAAAGACAAATCATTTCATTATCGTATAAAGCTTGTGTACTTAGTCCAAAATTAAGTGGTTTAAATCATTGGACGATTTTCCGTCGACGATTTATCGCAATCTGTTTGGAGCGCAGTAGCACGATAATTACCAATGATCTTTCTATACACGCTATTACTACTACTACTACTACTACTACTACTACTACTACTACTACTACTACTACTACTACTCCTTTCGCTCTCTTTTCTTCTCTCGCTGTGTTGTTCTCATATTGTTTAGCGCGCATGCGAACGTTTTATGCCGTTCGATACATTATTTCTTGTACACTCATGTAGGCTATAAAAACTATCGTGTAAATATCTATCTATCTCAGATGTGAGACCAATGGACTAAACTATTGTACATATGTCTACATATGTCTACATATATGTACATGTATACCATAATCTTAAATCACTCGCTTTGCAAAATGTTCTTATACTCACATTTATTTAGCTGCTGCGCACCAAAATGTATACATCCATTTGTAAGGAATCACTCGCATAACATTTTTTACGCGAACTTTAGATCACTGATTTATTTTGCATACTTTACGTGTTTATGCAAAATACCTTCGTGCATGTCTCGATGTCAGTTCTGTACGAGTCTCAGTTGTGTCCGCATTAAAAAACAACAAAATATTATATCAATTTATTCGCGCGACACTATGATTTCCGTTTGCGTCTATAGTTTCGACGTTTTCGATTATAGTGACGATTTACGTTGTCTTCTTTATCTTTTTTCGTTTGGGCACGTATTCTTCAGAGCAAGCGCAAATTGCCGGCTCTACCAAACCGCTAACAGTACAGAGACGCCGCTTCTTGCACAGGTATTATTATTATTATTATTATTATTATTATTATTATTATTATTTTTATTTTTTATTATTACTATTATTGTCGTTGTGTTGTTATCGTTGTTGTTATTGTCATTATTATTATCACCATGATCATTTTCATTCATATTCATCCGCTAATTACTTTACTATCACGTGCATGGCTCACTTCAGATGTCGGAGAATCGATCGACTTTGCGCAACTCACTTTTTAAATCGCATTTATCGTATAAACGTCGTATAAACTGCAAATCCTAAAAGCATAGCTATCCTCGATTGAAAATATTTAAGCGAATGAGCGCTCGTCCCATCGATTCTTTGCTATCTACTATCTATCAATCGAATTGTTGCTCCATTTCCGATTTTACAAATTGGAATCTTCGAAGGAGCATTACAAACGATATCTTATTATTCTAAACAGTTGGGCAGAGTTCAGTCTTCTACTATTTTGTTTTTTTTATCTTGTTCCTTTTTGGCAAAAAGATCGTAACGATATACTTTACAGATAAACGTAGACTCCTTTGCAAGGAGTGGGATTAATTCTCAATTTTTTCTTTTTTGAAATCTCTCATGTTGATGAAATAAATGATAAAAATTGTATGGATATCGATATTGGTCGTCTTTTGAGGAAGGAAAAAATGGATGATGGAAAGATAATGAAATAAGAGAAACATTTTCGGGGGTCGATTGCGTAGGTGATAGTCTCGTCTCCCGGTTCACCTAGCAGTGAGGACTCGGAAGCCTCGTCAGAGCCGATTGACAAGAACCTCCTGGGGGGTTTGGGATTTGAAAAGGTCGAAGAAGCGACAACTGGTCCGGGTCAGGGTACTTTCGAACAACAGATCACGCCTACAAGCAGCCTCGACACGGAAGAAGGTCATATCGGAGAAGAACCCGAAAAAGATGTTGAAGGAGACGTCGAGGCAAGCGACGACGATCGACAACAACAGCAACAACAACAACAACAACAACAACAACAACAACAACAACAACAACAACAGCAACAACAGCAGCAACAACAGCAGCAACAGCAGCAACAACAACAACTACTTCCTAAAACGACCCAATAATTGTGGTGCACAGTGAGTAAAAAGAATCAATGCGAGAGAGAGAGAGAGAGAGAAAGAAAATAAAAGAGTCATGCTTCTTTTTGACCATATAATATAAACTAAAAAATACAAATATTGAAATAAAACAAGACCGTGGCTTTGCCGATATTTTCTGGCCTTTCGATTCGCGAGTCGACGACGGTTTCGACAATTTCGACAATTTCAACGATCGTCTTTCCCTCGTCGATGATCTCTTCAACCGATTCGCGATCGCACGTTGCCTAAAACCCTTATCTTCTTTATATATCAAAAATTCAGTGTCACATTGTTGGTTTTGTCAACTTGTATTTCAATATAAAAAATATATTTGATCTACTTTTCACTTTTCTAACTTCATCATCAATTTGCTTCTATATGAAAGGATTAAAAAGGCACGTGCGATATTTAAATCGATCTAATGCGTATTAACGTAATTACAATAGACGACATCGTACAATTACTAATTAAAAATATGAAGATCAATATAGGATATTCGACGAATTAGACGATCGTCAAAGCAATTTGAAAATGCTGAAGTAAACTGTGGGACCATCGCGAATATTCATTCCCAACTAAACAATGAAACCGACGTTCCTAGCTCGATAGGAAACTTTCCTCGAAATTCACGCAGTTTCGTGATCTCTTCTATTGTAATAATAAATAAATAGGACAAAGAATCGTGCGAGAAGTGAAGCTTATAAAGTATGCCTATCGAAACTACAAATAAATGGTGACATACAATAAAGAAATTTAGGACGTTTAAAAACGTACTAATATTTCGTAATCGTAATTTCACACATGAAGACATTTCTTTTCTATACCTTGCGATTATCAGTTTGATTTAGTTGTTGATCTAATTTTCTTAAAAATCGCAATTTTGTTATTTTCGACGACACGAGCGATGGAAAAAAACTGGATGGTAATTACTTCTTCTTCGTCGAGCGTAATTTTTTTTTCTTATCGTTCGTGCGTGAACCAAAATTTGCCTCGACGACAACGAGTTCGATAAAGCACGAAAGAAATGATTAACCCAATGTGAGGAATGCAAAGCTTTCCCCACTCTAGCCACGCATTACGATAGGTATATATGCAAATAAATCCAGACAAATAGACAGACAGACGGACAAACAGACGCACACCCTTACATAAACATATATACATATACTCTACAGAGACATCCTAGGAAAAAAGTGTGAGCAAAAAGAAATAATAAAATAATGTGACATACATAATGGTCGGTTTATATACAATATACTATATATACACATGTTATATATACATATGTAGACTAGTCACGATATACATGTGCTTTTGATAAAAAAATTATTACTTGTAGCGTTAGTTAGCCCTCGTATACAAACAACAAACAGACAACTGCTCTATATATTATGTATAAATATATAGTATTTATATATAGATCTATATATATATACATATTATAAATAATACAAATAACAAATATATACATACTAAATAAAAAAATAATATAAAAAAGGGCCGCTACAGAGAGATGTCGAAAAGATTACGCGCGCATGCTATATCAAGGATGAGAAGTTTGAAAAAAAACATACAAAAGAATCAGCCAAAAGCGTGGGCAAACGTGCCTGCATCGCACATATAGAAAATATACAACACACACACACACACACACACGTACACACGCGTACACAAAAAAGATCACCATCGGTAATATCGCGACGCGTTCTATGCAGAAATGGAATACAAAGTAAAACGATAGATAATAAAATGCGATGCTACATGTGTGAGAATTCATACAAAAAAAAAAAAAAACGATAATAATTACGCGAATAAACCGCTCCGATTAAATAATATTTACATACACATATACATATAACATATATATATATATAATTTTAAACGTAAAAAAAAATGAAAAATTAGCCAGTATTATCGTTTATTTAAAATTGTAAAACTATATATATATATATATATATATATATATATATATAATAAAAAAGGAAAAAAGACAAGTAGAGCGAGAGAGTGGGAAGAGAGAATGAGAGTGGATGAGCGGCTGAGTGATAAAAGATATAGATAAAAAGTTGAAAAAAAAAAAGAAAAAAAAGAGATCTCCAAAATATGAAACCTATTTGGCATCGTAAATTGCATAGATAAAAATAAGTTAAAAGTTCGTACTCGTTAAACGATACGTTATAATGTAGGTAGTATCTATTGTTCGCTGGTGTCCTTGTTCGTACGGGATATAAAGCACTGATATTATGTATAAACGTAAAGGGGGAAGTACGCAGGACACTTATATCCTATTACCGGTTACAGAAAAAATCCGGTTTTTCTCCCGCTTAGGGTTAGTTCAATACGACGACGCGAAGAATGAGAATAATTCTTTCGAATATGCGCGTCGAGTCAAAAAACATTGTATAGATTTTGACAATGAGTGTGTATCATTAAAAAAAGCGCATAAATTTATTGGTATCGACAGACACCCTTTCAAACCCTTAACTCCCCCCCCCCTCATAGTCCCGCGCGGCTAAAGCCCAGCCCTCATCCAATCGGTATGACTGCCTATCGTTTTTTCTACTTGCATGAGCGAGGAAATGCCGGGTACTTTTTTCTTTGACCTTATTTTAAGGATAAAACAAATTTTGCCACATCCTCAGTTCATTCTAACGTATTATTATCCGTTTCTGTTGAGGGAGAAAAAAATGATTAAAACAAAAAATAATATACTCGTTCATCGATTTTATTTTGAAACGATAGCATGGCAAAATATTTCTCACCGTATTTTATATTTATTCTTATAGCATATTAAAACGGTATATCGAAGGATGTTATTGCTCTCTAAAAATGGTATCCAGCGTTCCTCGTCGTCCTGACTTTATTCTTATGGTTAGTAATAAAATAAATAATTCGAATGTATAGGTTCAAAGAGAGAGAGAGAGAGAGAGAAAGAGAGAGAGCAAGCGATTAATATTAATTATTATACGTGAAAGCACACTGCCGTAATTTTATATAACTTGACTGTTGTTATACCTAATATCTATTAAAATTAAAAAGATTAAGGAGGCCCGATACGCGTCGCTCGACAGGATCTAGGATTTGACTAGAGGCTCGTAAATCGATGGAGAAAAAAAAAAGGAAAAAAAAGAAAAAGAAAAAGGACAAAAAAAAGAGAAAAAAAAAAACAAGAAAAAGTGATTTCTCCTCTTTCTTATAATTACACTTCGAGCAATCGCGACTTTTAACCTACGAATCGTCATAGTTTATGGATTATGAACAAATAAATAAATAAATAAATAAAATAAAGATCCAGAGAAATTCCTTCGAGAGTCGTCATATCGTTTTTAAGATGAGAAAACGAAAGTGTATTATTTTTTCGTTATTACACGAAATTGTTAAATTAATTGGAAGGAAGACAAAATAATGATCTTTAATTTATTATTGTTTTTTGACAAACGACGATGATCGGTCCGATATTAGGGTGTTCCCGAACGAATGCGAACGCGAGGAAGCAGAATTAGAAATATAATATAAAAAAAAAATCAAAGAGGAAAGCAAAAGACAACGGAAGAAAGAAGGAAAGTGCTCGTAATACTATAATAAATAAATTATAATAAGGCTTTATTGTACAAAGAAATATCGTTGATTGCTGCGTATTCACAACGAAGGAAGTATGTATTTATTGATCTTTTTACTTACTTAATTAATGAATTATTTCGAAACGAGTACACGTTGCGAAACAAACAAAAAATGAGATATGCAATCACCGAGAAAATATCATAAGAATACAAGATAAATAGTTGCAAAACGAAGGACATATTATATAGTTAATATATACCTATGAGAGGTGCATTACCTTGATCACTTTGCAAATGCGTGATTGCAGATATAACAGCGTAATCCCTTCGTGTATAAGGGCGAAGGCGAAGGCGAAGGCTTGGTTTCCTGACTGGCTGCTTGCGTCTATATAACTTGTCTCTAAACATATATACACGCACTTTCTTTTATTACTATTGTAATGAATTTTTTAACGTATCTTTTTTATACCGTGTTAATATAAAATTTCATTGGCGTTTTACTATACTCGTATAAATAGAAAAATGAAGAAAAGCGCATAAACACGATCGATATCGTTCAAGTAAATCCGAGTTTGATTCGGAAGGGCACAAATAATACGAGAGACTGTTCGTTATCGCTAACTTTCGTATTTAATCGTTATACCATTTCATTAGATTTTCATTGAAACTATAATGCAAACCATATTACACACACACTTACACACGCGCACACACACACACACAATTATACACCGTCATATACACGCAAAGATACGCGGTCCAGCATATTACATTTGCTCTCTATTTTTATATATCGTTACATTATTCAACACGTGTGTTCAAATACAGTCACGAAGCCAGGCTTTTGGCGTCGTCGAATTTGATGACATTACAATAACAATACACACCTATTCGATGGACCATACTTGTCATAATTGTCACATTTGTCATATTTGTCATATTGAAAACTTTCTAATGAAACAAAAATTCACCCAAATGATGAGGAATAATAGGGAGAGAGAGATAGAGAAAAAAAAATGAAAAGTTTTGCAATGATTATTCTATAAGTTAGAATGGAAACCCTATATAGGTACTTTTATATAGGTACTTCTTCTTCCGCGCGTTGATCCAGCAGATATTTCATACGTAAACAATTATAATTATAATTCAATATTTTTTCTCAAAACACATCGGAATCGTCGCGATGATAGAGACGAAAAAATAATATCAAATTCAAAAGGCAAATCGAATAAGAGATAACCAAAATTTGTCAAACTTCACATATAATATGTAATTGTTATTTGATAAATAATAGCAGAGAGAGAAAGAGAGAGAGAGAGAGCCTATATTACGTAGAAAAGTAGAAAATCCAAAAAGCAAGGATTTGAACAACAAAATGCCAATAAGAATAATAATAATAATTCGAATAAATATTCGAAATAACACCGAACGAATCGTATTCGATTTACAAGTTCCTTTTTAAACTTTTAGACGATTCTTATCGTTAGCTATGATTATTTACGTTGCTCTTCCATCATTCTTCCGACAAATTGAAGAATACGAATGCACAGAGGCAAACGCATCGAACGCGACGATTGTAGATTAGCCATTCACCGAAACAAACCAAAGTCATATTTTTAATCTAATTCATTTCGATGATAATAACAACCTTAACAACATTAACAACATTAAAACGGATAATAACAAGCACATAGTAGATTTACTATTATATAATATGTATATAAGTATATCTATACGGATAGAGGCATTATTAAATCTCGTTACAAAGATTTCATAATGAAAAAAAAAAGAAAAAAAAAACAGAAAATATGATAATAAGAAATGTAAGATTTTTGACGAATTCTAAATAGAGGATGGCTTATTTCTCGAAACGCGTTTCTTAACCTTTGCTTACCATCCTTCCTGGAGTAACACGCTTACCACCGCGAGAAAAATCGTTATAAAAAAGAAACTATTGCATAGATTTACTTCAACATTTTTTTGAGACTCCTTTAATACTTACTTTAAAAGACTATATAGGTTTTATAGCTTTAAATTAAATTTAAATATGTTTAAAAAATTACCAAAGTTGAACAATTGAGAAAAATGACTCAAGTTACAAAAAAGGTCTGGGTCCTTTGGACCAAGTGTGGTAAGCAAAGGTTAAGTATTCCAAGTGACCAACTGGGTACACGCAAACACACTAACACTAAACACTAAACGCAAACACACATAATGTACATAGTTAAAATATAATAGCAAAGTAGAAAACAAAATTGAAAAATTGAAAAGTCGGCTTGTAAATAAGAAATATGCATCTAATTGATCTTTTTACTTACAAAGGAACATATTTATCTTTGTCCAATTATCTTTTGTCCAATAATGTGAAATTTGTATTATTCTGTTTTTTCTAATCGATTGAAATTAAAAGAGGAATATGTTCCATTGTCAGTACACATTATAATCATAATAATGCGCGAATTATCAAGAATCAGTTGCGCGCATCAATCCATCATACAAGATTGTTCACACACATATCTTCACATATGAAACATTTAAGCTATTATTTAAATCATCTTCTTATTTAACGTAAAATTATTTTTTATTTTGTCCATCTTTGCGTGCATATTTACAATGTTTCAAACTGTTATTATTTGTTGTTACATTGTTCCGCGCGATAGCGTCAATCAAGTTTTAATACTTGTGTTAGTTTAAATATCACCATCGTTACGTCGAACGGTAGTATCAATTTATTAGATATATTTGTATAAATCATAGTTGTCACCCTGATACTTTCATATACACAGGTATGATCCTACATATCACAGATGAATTAGGGCGAAAAAGACAGGCCTAGGAAATAATAAATACTTTTTATCCTAGCGAGGGTAAAATTACAAAAATATCCAACTGGCCTCCTATCAAATTTTACTTTTTAGTAATATTTTAGAAACGAATAATCTTTCTAAACGGTCAGGATAAACAATAAAAAAAAAAGACACGCTTGTAGGATTAGTCGTAGTTTTTGCCATAATATACCACGAGTTACTTAATCCACATTTCAATTTAAAACGCATATCGGCGTCGAACTAACGAGATCAAAACTAATTATTTTCTCTTCATTTTCTTGTCATTTGAAAACATTACAATTCCGATCCGTAAGATTTCGATAAAAGGGCAATAATAAATTAATCGAAAAGAAAAAAAAAGGAAGAAGCGGGCACGATCATGTCTTCATTTCCCTTTTGACATATCCCATTTATCATTGCACGAATGACAAAGTGCATATTTATATATATAACACGCGTAGACGTATTTTCCTAATGGTGCTGTACACAACTGGCAACAAACATAAATTAGTATTTGCAATATTTTCAAGATAAATCAATTCTCAGCATCTGAATTACTCGTTAAAGTTTCATTGCCATCGTTTGCACGACAATTTCGCGTTACGAGACATTTTTAAAAGGAACGATAAAATTCGAACGATACGTTGAACTTTTAGGCTGGTTGTTATATTTTATTCAAGATTAATCGATTATTCGATTCATTAAAATATGCACACCACCTAACACAACGAAACGTTATCATTTCATTTGGAGACACTTCGATAGTAATAAGAAAGAGCTAGCGTGTCGTGTCGTACCGTACCGTGTCGTGTCGTGTCGTGTCTTTCTCTCAATCTCGTACCGAATGATCTCATAGTTTTATTATTATCTCCGGATGATAATATTATGTATAATATTAATAAATTACATAAATACATGTTGACAATTTTTTTAAATCCTTTCTAATTAATTTTTTTATAATGAAATATTTAATATCGCTAATTTAAACGCATGTAAACTTGTGTGTGCCTCTTTCTTATTATTATAATCAAATTGATTATAATTCGCAAAAAACAAACATGGTATTTAGTGTCTCTCTTTTGTAACGTGCTATGTAAATACGTACAAAAATGTAATTTTTATTTTTAAGAAATAATCATCATCCCCTGTGACAATATATCATTGAATAAAAATACCTGCACCATCGTAGAAAAAAAAGGCAACGTATTAAATGCAAACTTGGAACACTGTTTTCATTGTATCATACACTGTTCATCGAATAAAAATCACACAGCTTTTATTACAACGCGAAAACGATTTATACGATTCCGATATATTATATTACGAAGGACTTTCCATTTGAATTTAACGCAGCAACACGTTATAAATGAAATTTTGCTATTCTTTCACGACCTTCATTTTTGCGTATGGCAAAACAACAAATGCTCGGAATCTTACGCGCGTGTAATCGACGCCAAGAAAATAAAATATTTACTACTATGCTTCTTCGTGTATACTGTGAGATAAAAGTAAAAAAAAAACAAAAATAAAGAAAACTAGAAAGAAAGAATTACAAATGATGTCAACGGACGATTAAGTATCGTTAGAAAATTGAGAATTTTAAGTCTATAAATATAATAAATATGTATTTAATTAAAAGAAAAAAGAATAGGAAAAAGAAAGAGAAAGAAAAGGAACGCGAGCGAGTGAGATATTAGTATAAATAAAAAATGAGGAGGAAAACATATGAATATATATATATTGGAAATGCAGAGCTATAAATATTAAGGAAATCGTTAACAGAATTATAGAAAGTGGTGCAACGTGAAATAGCGACAGTTAATATCCATCAGTATTTACACAATAATCGAGATTAAAATATCATTGCCTTTAGATAAATATTATTGACCTGACGTTTACAATTGTACTTGGATCTAACAATAAGAAGATTTCGATAATTGACAGCACACACAACACCACATAACACACAACACACATATATACATACATTTAAAAAAAGAAAAGGAAAGAAGAGCGTTATAAGTGGCACATAACGAAATATAATCTATGGTTAGTTGCCACATTTTAGCGCTCGCGTAATAGAGAAAAAGATAAAAAAAAAAAGTAAAATTGACAAAAAAGACGACTATCGTTGATTGCTATATCAAGCCAGTAGATATTATCAAACTATAGTAGTGTGTCGATATATTAGCGTTGTAATGATGCGTTTTTTACGCCGGCTTGCGCTCGTCGTCGCGTCAACCGACCGCTTATGCGAACCGTTCCGACTATTTATAAAGCACTAATAAAAATAAAAGCAATTTATGAAGGAACATTTATTTATCAGAGATAAAGAGTGCGTGATGTATGTTATGTATGCGTCAGTCGTTAATAAGAGAACAAAAACGATGAACGAACGAACGAACGAACGACGAACGAACGAACGAAAGAACGATTTCAAGTTGAAAGCGTTCAGCCTTATTATCGTTCCAACATAGGTTTTGTTTATTGTATTACCCTCTTTCCCCTTTTTTTCTCCTTTTTCTCTTCTTCTAACGTTTCTTTGTTACGGAAAAACGGGGAGATGGGGTTTAAAAGTACTTGTGTCCTTCCTTCCTTCCTACAACCTTTTTTGTTGTTGTTGTTTTATCATTGTTATTTAGAAACGAGCTTATATATAGAAAATAACGGCGATTTCGCATCGAACCGAAAGCACAAGAAGCACGAGAGGGAGAGAAAAAACCAAAGGATAAGAGAGCGCGCTTGTTGCGCATGGCGCGTTAAAGTCTCCAAGAAGACACGACAAGTCAATGAGAGAGTGATCGTTGTTGTCCGATTTATAACTCAACTCTAGGTATAGTAAAAAAGAAAAAAAAAAAGGTAACAATTTCAAATGGGTAATAATAGAGTACCGTTGTTTCGTTAATTGTTTTTATAGATTATATTGTGTGCCGTGATCGAATCGCGCGACCCATTCCACAAATAACGATTGAAATTAATTCGAACAAACTAAATCGCAGATAACCGCGTTGTCCTCCGGTGCAATGAAGAAACTTAGATACAAAAGGGGAAAGGAAATACGTATCTTGTATCTTCGATCTTCATTGTATCTAATCTGACGAACGAAAGATTCGCTACCGCTCTTAAATCGACAATTTCATGAAAATAAAGAACACAAATGATATATATATATACGTGTGTGTATATAGAGAATCATTCTAGTCAATTAAAAAGGGAATCCTAATACGGGCGGATCTTTGTTCGTCGCGAGATACGATCACGTTTAGGCCACGACTATTTTTCTAAGTTGCAAAGTATAATAAATTAATGACGTTGCATTATCGTTACTAGAGTATATTATAATGTATATTGATATTTTAACTAGGCGAGTAAGTATGAAATAATGTTACGAACATAATATACGACTATATAATAATAATTAAATTATTATTTATCATTATTATTATTATTATGATTATTATGATTATCATCATTATTATTATTATTATAATTAAATTCCGGTTCGCACGTGCGGTCGATGAGCGTGTAACGCCTGCGATAAATGAGCTAAATTCACTTAATAAACAATTATAATTGGGGTTAATTTAAAAAAAATAAAAAAACTAAGAAATCCTTGATGGACTTATCATAGCATTGGTAAATCCATGGTTATCGAGAAACGACTGCAAAGGAGTTTTGATTTGACGCGAAAGCGAGCGGGAGCTGCGTGAATCGTGCACAAGCGAGAATGAATGAGAGAAAGAGAGAGAGAGAGAGAGAAAAAGAATTAACGCAAAAACCATATTCGTGTAATCACGAAATGACGAATGTAAACAAAAGCTTCAAAAAGAAAGTGAAATTAACAATGTCGTTTCCCGAACCGCGATTAAATAAAAACATGAATCCTTCTGTCAGTTACCTTACCTGTATTGAAAAAAAGCGTCATAATAATATGCTGCCATACGATATAAATATATGTCTACACTAAGGAGTATATTACTAAAATATTACAAATAAATATGTTGTAAGTACGGATCCTTTTATCCTTATATCTGACTTTTGTTAAATATATATCTCGTATACGAAAACTATACAAATTTTCCTTTCAGATTTACCGTACGAGAATTACAGTTACGCGAAATAAGAAGAAATATTTTCTCAACACCCAGTTGAGAACTTGTTCGCCTGTTTCAAGTGAACTTAGATAACGTTTAGTATTCTGTCGATGTTAAAAAGAGAAAGTTCGTACTCGTCGAGATGCTTGAATATTGTTTATTATTAGATTGAATTATATGTTGCATCACAAGAAGGAGGCCGTACAACTCGTTGCATCGAACTAAACATAAAGAAAATGTATACTTTAGTAAATAGTGATCAAAAGCAACGGACAAGAGACACACAAACAAGATTTCTATTATTCGTTATATATTATTAATATAATAATAATAATTATAGTTTCAAAATAGCACGTTTCTATTCCCTACTACGCGCGTTTGAAAAATGTCAGGATTCTCTCTCTTTGCGTCGAGTATACGAGCATTGACTCTCATACTCAGTTAAGTGTTTTTAAAGTGAGTACTTCGAAAGAATCGTATAATGCAATTAATTACTGACAAATGTACAAAAATGCAACATAGTGATATTAATTCATTGATACATTTTATTCGAGATGTAACTATCGTTTGTCTTATAATCTTGTCGTTATTTTCGATCGAAGGAAAACGATATCGTGGTGAGTATGATACATAGGTACTTACTTACATAGGCACTTGGATACCTCTATAAAATCTATATGACCTTCTATCCTAGGAATACTAGGCATGTCGAATCGTATTAAATTACGACGACTCGGTTATAGTCGCGAACAATTGAAAGGAAAAATTTGTTATGGTATGTACGTCTTGTTTAATTATAATATATATATTTAACAATATGAATTAAAAATAAGGCGATAGTTATTATAGGATTGCTAATGGTAATAACGGTTATGTTAGATCTAGTCGGGTGTTTTGCCGATCCACCGGCCCACTTATCTTTCAAAAGACCTCCCGAGAATCCAAATGTTATTAAAAGCAAATTTTTATTATATACCAGAAGCAATCGGGAAAATCCGAAGGTTGTTACATATACGGATAAGTCCGAGTCGTTGTTACAATCTCGATTGAATGTATCGAAGCAATTGAAAGTTATGATACACGGCTTCAAAGGTAGCGGTAACGATAAAAGTTTAATTCACGGGATTAATGCTCTCCTCGATCTGGTAAATGTGTTAACCTATTTAAATGATGATCTTTATAAAAGAACAAAATGATTATTTTGTCATTGGACATAGGAGGATGTAAATATATTGATTGTGGATTGGACAAGAGGAGCAGGCACAACTTATGCGGCTGCAGTAGCTAATACCGAATTGGTTGGCCGACAACTTGCCCTTATCCTTTTAGATGCCTTCAACTTGGGGACCGATCCGATGGACGTACACCTTACGGGTTTTAGCCTGGGAGCTCATGTAGCAGGATGCGCTTCTGAAATGTTGAAAAACTGGGGCCTTCTTCTTGGTCGTATTACCGGTCTCGATCCGGCCTCGCCATTTTTTCGAAATAATTTTTTTCGGAAAAAGTCGAGAAAGCTCGACGTTAGCGACGCTTATCTCGTTGACATTATTCATACGGATGGCTCGGAAAATTTTATCGATGGATTTGGTCTTCTCAAACCTATCGGGCACATTGACATTTTTCCTAATGGCGGTAAAGAACAACCAGGATGTTCCGACGTTCAAAATTCCGTTGTCGTCAGTCATTTGAAAGGTTTGATTTGACAATCTTGTCTTCCTTCACGGTCCTTTTATTCATATTATCTTTAATTCATAATACTATTTATGATTCTACTTGTTACAGAAGAACTGTTAGATAGAGAAATTGCTTGTAGTCATGTAAGGGCTTGGCAACTCTACTTAGAAAGCATATTGACGCAATCCCAAAAATGCAAATTTATAGCATGGCCCTGTCCTCAGGGAATCATTTCATATACAAGAGGAACTTGTTTCCCAATGGAATCTACTGGTTGGTCTCAAGAAATGGGATACAAAGCAAACCACGGCCCATTGGGAAATTATTTTTTACCTACCAGAAGTGAACCACCCTTTTGTGGTATATTACTATTATATATATAATATACCATTGTATTTCATTACACAGATTAATTTAATATTTTGTATAAACAATAAAGTCCTCCTTTTCAGGAGAACCATTCAGAGTTACTATAAGGACAGCTATGGGTTTAACAAGAACTATGGGAACATTGATTTTGAAAACGTATCAAAATAATTCAACGACGACGTACAAAATCAGTTGCCAGTTGTTTAATTGATATTTTCATATATCTACTTACAGCCTAACTTTTCATAAATATAATTTAATTCTTCTTTCTAGATTACCCAAACTATACAATCAACCAACGTTTTTCTACAATATCGCGGCGAATGATTTTTCATCTAGTTTACATAAAATAACAGTTATAAAAGGAACAATACAATATTATAAAACAATCGAAAAAGATGGAAAAGAGGAAATAATAGCCGATTCCTCGGATACTATACTATTGGACAAATTGTTTCTTGAGAACAGGAAGGGAGATAGGTAAAATTCTAATTGACTATAATTAACAATTCTTATTTCGAGTGCTATTGTAAATAATTAATTATTATAATTATTACAGATGGGAATGTTGCAATTTAAATTCTCCGATTGGTATAGAAAAGATACCTGTGGAATTCCAGAACATATCATGCAACCAACATTAAGAAATTGTACTCTTTCATTAGAATAATCTGTTATATTTTGATATTTGTATCAATCATATTCACGCATGTGGATATTTTGTCTATAACTTTGTCAACAAATGACTAATCCTTACCTTTACAGTAGACGTAATATTTAATAAGCTAATGAAATCTTTTAGATCATAGATCATATTATTTTGCTTTTAAACTGTACAATATACCATGTTGAACCAATCGATCTTTTCAAAGAAGCAATGCTTCTTTATATCTGATATTGTTAATCGTTCCTCTGGCTTGTACTTTAAAATCTATTAAAAATAATTCAATGATTTCATCAAAAGAACGGTTTAAACTTATTTATATATAAAAAAACGGGAGTATGTTTGAAATAAAAAAATGTTATCTTAAGACTTACACTTAAAAGTAAAGATCTGGCATTATCCGACAATTGACTAGGTATGCTAACAACGGAATGAGAACGAAATGGTTCGGCGTGCAAGGATCTAAACTTCTGCAAAAAAAAAAAAAAACAAGAATAAACATATAAGATTAATCGTAGAATTGGAAAATAATCTATATATCATTATAATGATTTAACTTGAATCAATTTAAAGCATACAATGCCTGTTAATAATTCGTATAAAATGACTCCATAACTCCAAATATCTGTTGCTGGCGTAATAGAAGTCATAGGCGAAAATGTGTACAGCTCCGGAGACGAATATGCCTGTCTTATTTTGGTTAATTCGATGTTACGATATGGTACAATATACGTTAATATTACATGGTCATGGTCATCCAATAAAATATTTTCAGGTTTCAAATCAAAAATGATAACTCCTTGTTGATGTAACGCTTCGAGTGCTAACAGAATTTCTGCTGCCCAACGACAAACAACTTCTTCCTTAATTTCCCAATTTACCAGTTTGTCGCAATTAGGATCAGAATGATTCTTCACATGAGCACATTCTTTGCTCTTTTCTATCATACAATTAGTATCCTTTAAATATTTCGACATTGATGCATTTCTTTGTTCGATAATATCTTCATTTTGGAAAGATTCATATTTGAGATTCTTATCTGTTATCATTGAGTTACACGATGCGTCCGAACTAGTGCTATTTAACATATCATTTTCTTGTGTATCGCTAAAACTAAAATCCAAGCTATTACTTAAACATTTCGTCAAATTATTCTCCTTTGACATATTTATTGGTACTATCTTGTTTTTTCCCAAAAATTTTATCGATTCAAACACCTCTTTCTTATCTTTATTATTACTATCATTGCGTGCGGGTTCATTAAGATTATAATTATATGCTAATTTAAGGGAGCTTTCATTTAAATGGATAGCAACAGAATTACTTCTCCTTAAAGTAGCATTAACGGATTGTAGCAATTTTTGCGCTTTTTCTAATAATTGTGTCGTAGGCACGTCACTGCCATAGGCTTCATTTAAAGTATCCTTCTGACATTGATCTTTATCTTTCTTTAACATATGTTTTATCTCTGTCGATGCAGTGTCATAAGTACAAGGAAGTTCTACCTCTTCGCTTCTAATTAATTTCATTTCATTATCGTTATTAAGTATTTCTTCAAAAGTATTTGGATATTGAATGGTGATACCAAGCGTTTCTAAGGAATCTCTTTTAAAGGATTGATCGCATAGCTTGTAATTTTTCATTATAAAATCCCACAATCTACCACGTTTAATGTATTCCAATATAAGAAATACCGTCGTCTCAGTTTCAATATATGCATGCAAATGCACCATAAATGGTATTTGCCCACGCAATATATAATTGTTAATATTTTCTTTACTGTATAACGATTTTTCAATACTTTTAACAATTCTAAGATTACTCGAATGCAAATCTGTAACAAGCATTACGGAATCTATAATTTTCAATACTTTGTAATATTGAAGATCCGACACGGGCTTATTTAGCACAGAAATATTCAAGTTTAAGTATTTGTTATATAATTTCTCCGCCCTATCTAAATATTTAGATATATTTTTTTTAATTCTTATTTTCCTTGCATGATCAGGATCTGTTTCTACGCCAAGCAATAACGTAGAGATACCCATTTTGTATTGAGCAAATGCTTCTTCATATTCTGCAATAGCTTCGTGCTTGAACGCTGCATTTATATAAGCTGCAGCTACTATGATATAATGTGTAATGTCCTTGCATGTACGAGCAAGATCCGAACAATCTTGTATCATTTTAGAGTTGGGAATTTTGACCATTTTTGTCTTTTTTATTTCATACTTTTCCTCATTTAAATTTTCATGTTTACTTATTAGATTATCTTCTAATTTGTCATGTACATTTGACACGCTTGTATCTATGCCTAAAGTCTTATCGCTTTTAGAAATATGACTATGTTCTATAATTTGCGTCTGTACCGCATTAGCGATATTAGATTCTTTGTCATATTCTTTGGAGGAAGCGACTGTATTTAATTTTAATGAATTTTTGTCTACAACTGGAGACCCTGTAACTTGCGTCTGCGAAAGACACGTCCTCTCTACAATGTTATTATGTTCTTCTTCAGAAGTATCAGAACTAATGGATTGCGAACAATCATTTATATTACAATCTATGAGACTATTCTCAAAAAATCTGATGAAAATGTCACTGGTATATAAGCACCGATGTTTCCCGATAAAATCTAAGAACTGTAACGCGCTGTTCTTTCTTTCTTCAATAACTTCCACTTCGAATCTCCCAAAAAATTTAGATTTTGTAAATGGAGGAAAATGGTCTTTAATTTGAAAGCGTCCATGTAAAGCGTATAATTCTGAATGGAGTTTTTTAAAGTCATTGTAACGTTTCCAAACAGATACCTTAGATATTTCCTCTCTGGACGCTTTTAAGTATACCTGAAACAAACATTACAAACATTTGTCATTTGCATGTCAAACCTAATTATCGTCAGATTATTTTTAAATCATACAACATTAAATCTTACCACGGATGTGACTTTATAAATGGTAAAACCTTTACTGTGTCGTGTAGTTTCGGGTATAACGAAACGTCTAATCCATTTATCTTTCGTTCCTGGCATGTCTTATTTAATTGTTTTAACATTTTTTAATATAATTAACCACTTTCAAAATATAACTTTTGGCTTCATTTTAGAGACCAATTTACTTCCAATTACCTTCAATCTAATGTACATAAACCGATCGTTCCGATGTTCACTTTCAGGTTATAACATAAATAATTCGGAAGACAGCTTAACGTTATCATGATGATTATAAAAAAAGAACAGTATATACTAGCGATAAGCGTCGATAAATAAATAAATATCTCTCACTTTAATTAATAATATTTAGTAATTTCAAAGGAATGCACTCAATAGGTGACATTTAAAAGACGATTTCAACTCTGACATTACATTTCTTTAAATATCGATTAATCATTAAATTGATAGTAACATGTGTGCAATCGTTTATTATAATGTGGCACTTCAACAATTATGATTCATTGCATCCGAAATTTTCCTTACAAACCATTTATTACTTATTTATTTTATCGTTTTTATTAGTCACTTATCGATACAAATATTTATTTCAACTACAAAGAAGTGCTTTGTTTTTATTGTCAATAGTATTTCGTTGTTTTTCCCACGCGAGGCGCTTCCGTCGTCTTATGGTTGCTTAACTTAGCCGCTAGAGGCATGGTTGAAGCACATTTGACAGAAGAAGAAGACAAATATCTTGTATATAATTACTACATTTCCTTAATCAAAATATATATATGTAATTACTTTCTTATTGTAATATCAAAATACAGAAAATAAAAATTTCTAAAGACTGTTTCGAAGTGACTTTCGAGTCACTTGGTAAGTAAATATTATTTCATCACAAATCATTATAGTATAGGTTGATTAAGTACTTAACTTGAATAATATATATTTCAACAATTGGTATTCTTTTTTTAAAGAATCGTGTCAAGTTTGAAGACAAATTTATATTACACAGTAACTATTTTTATGTACAAATTGATCATTGAAAAAGGATAAATATTGCAAAATGTATAAATCGAGTCAAGAACCAGATATACCTGCTGCGTTAGGTTTGTTAACGCATTTAAGTAACGAAGAGTTAAAGGATATATTAAACGACGATAGCAAATTTGAAGACATTGTTAAGGACATAAAACAGGTAATTTGAATAGAGTTTTTAACCCTATTTTTGTCGTAGCATTTAATACAAGTCTTCTATAAGAAATATTTTGTTGATATTAGTTTAAGGAACTTGAAACGGAAAAAGAAGTACTTATGGCAAGCAACAGATCGTTAGCAGAATTTAATCTTTCTAAACAACCAGACTTGGAAGAAGGTAAACGAATGCTAAAAGAACTTAGCGAAAAAGGACAACAATTATGTCTCAGTATTAAGGAAAAACTCAATGAGATTAGTAAGTTTTTGAATAAATATTAAATAACGTTGATTTATTTTGATAAGCAATATTTATCAATTAAGAAATATATTTATTATAATTCTAGAAGAGAGATCAGGAAGTATGACAGTTGACACGGCATTAGACCTTTTGCAGGCAGCTACAGCAGAAATCGAGGAGGAATCGGAGGTACAAGCTTTTTAAAAAGAAAAAAACATAATAACTAATTTATCAATCTTATATTTCAGAAAACAGCAGAATCATTTTTAGCCGGCGATTTAGAAGTGGATGAATTTTTAGAACAATTTTTATTGAGAAGAAAATTAATGCACTTACGTAAAGTTAAGGTCGATAAGATCAGAGAAATAATGCGAAAATCATCGCATACTGCACCTTATTTTTCTTCAAACTTTCCTGGAATTGCACCCTCTATATCATATCCAACGGGACCTGTATCGATGCCGATGCCCTTACCATCTGGTCCTTCTCTTTATAGGCCATATTGAATGTGAATTGTGTACATAATACGTGTATGAATATTTGTTTTACTTTTTAAATACAAAATAAAATTATAATATTTTCCAGAAAATGTGGATTTTGATAATATTCATTTTATAGTACAAAAATACTAGTAAAGTTATATTTTCATATTTGGAGATTAATTAAATTGTTGGAGGTATTATAAAATGTATTCATCATTAAAACACAGAGAAATACTATTTACAAACATAATTATTTACAATAATTTACATTATATAAAGACGTGCTCCGTATTTTAGTAGTTAAAAGTTGAACTTTAAATAAAATTGCTACTTTTGGATAATTTTGCTATGTCGCAATGTATTTGAAACTACATTTTGTGTTAATTCTTTTTTCTGGGTTCATCGTAATTGGTGCGTGAATGATATTGAATAATTAAAAAAACTATTACAACAGATATTGCAGTATACATCATTGATATTTCCTGGGAGTTTTCTTTTTCACTACTTTTTCTAATCGTTTTGATTATTGTCTCTTTCTTCTTTCTTTTATTAAACGTTTCGCCATAATGTTGACGAGTCCATTCATCAAAATTGAAATGTTTATTTCCCATAGGATTTATTTTACTGTTATAAGTAGAAGCATACGTATAATTGGTTCTGGGAATATTGGTTTGAATGTTTTGTTTGACTAGAATAGATCTGTCATAACGTTTGCGCGTTTGATAATTGTTTAATATTTCGTATGCTTCTGAAATATCTTGAAATTTTCTTTTTGCTAATTCTGAATTATTTTTATCTGGATGGTATAGCATGCTCAATTTATAATAAGCCGATTTTATTTGAGATTTAGTAGCGTTCGGCGAGATTTCCAATGTATCATAATGTGTTTTCATTTTCGAATATGTGCAAGATTTAGACTGCACCAAACGAAAAAGTAATAAATTCCTAATGCCATTGTAAGGAATAAACTTTTCTACCCAACAATTATTTACACAAATACGCATAGTTATCGATTGTTATTACTTTATTTCCAATATGATGTATACGTGCATCCATATACAATATATTTCCATATCATCTTGATAAACTTTCAATTGTTCATTTGGTACATATTGATTATGTTAAATATAAGAAAATATTATATTCACTGTAATATAAAGATCAGATCAAATATTATTTGATTGACTTACGATCGACGTCATCTCTCTTATGTATTATTATAAATAATATATATTTGGTCTTTTCTAGGAATGATCAAAACAGATGAGAAGAAAGGTTAAATAAACTTAGGTTAGGTTAGTTAGGATCAACTTCGTCAGGTTGGCACAAGATATAAAGTAGGGAGAGCATTAACCAATGAAATTTGTTTCTTTATTCTAGATGCATCTAATGTAGATGTTTCCAATCTATACTAACTGTATTATCCCTTATCGTGGTTGCAATCCTTCGTTGAATCTGTTGTCAATTCATTAACTACCTGCGTTAAAATGCCGTTAGAAAATTTAGAAGAGGAAGGATTGGAAAAAAATCCCAATTTAGAATTGGCGCAAATAAAATTCTTATTAAGTCTTCCGGAACACCATGAAGATCCCTATTTGAAAACTAAACTACTCGATGCCATTAAAGCAGAAAGTGAGTTTGCATTTTTTTCTCTAATGTCTTATTAGGTTTGGCAGAGACAGTGTTCTAATGTAAAGTATTTTCTATTTTACAGATATGGCACCATTTTACGAAGAAGTTTGTCGAGATCTGGGTTGGATAGTCGACGAAACGCTTTTGGCCAATATGAGAGCTCGCAATGCGGAGCAATTAAAAGAGTTAGATGGAGCGATTGAGGACGCTGAAAAGAATTTAGGAGAAATGGAAGTACGCGAAGCTAATCTTAAAAAATCCGAACATCTTTGTCGAATTGGGGACAAAGAAGGAGCGATAACAGCTTTTAGAAAAACTTATGATAAAACTGTGTCTTTGGGTCATAGACTAGATATCGTATTTCATAATATTAGAATTGGTTTGTTTTATTTGGATCACGATCATATAACAAGGAATATAGAAAAAGCAAAAAGGTATCTATACACGTTCATGCTTGCATGCTTATGCTATTCTTAAATACTTTATACAAGATTTGACAAATTTGTAGTTTAATCGAAGAAGGAGGTGATTGGGATAGGCGAAATCGCTTGAAAGTATATCAAGGAACTTATTGTATAGCAGTACGCGATTTTAAAGAAGCAGCAAATTTCTTTTTGGACACGATAAGTACTTTCACAAGTTATGAACTTATGGATTACAATACGTTTGTAAGATACACTGTTTATTTAAGTATGATAAGTTTGCCAAGGAATGAATTGCGCGATAAGATCATTAAAGGGTCAGAAATTTTAGAAGTATTGCATAGTAATTCTGACGTTAAGGATTATCTGTTTTCCTTATATAATTGTCACTATGCTGAATTCTTCAAGAATCTTGGTAATTTTTGCAAACAATTGTCTTTCTCTTATATTATATTTGGTCATTATACCTTGCTTTTCTTACTTCTTTTAGCGCAAGTGGAAGGATTACTAAGAAGAGATTATTTGGTATTTCCACATTACAGATATTATGTTAGAGAAATGCGCATTCTTGCATATACGCAATTATTAGAGTCTTATCGTTCTTTAACGCTACATTATATGGCAGAAGCATTTGGAGTTACTGTAGAATATATAGATCAGTAAGCCGTTTTTTCATTTATCAAATAACAAGTAACAATCACCCGCACACAATCTAACACACATATCTTTTCTATTTTCAGGGAACTATCCCGATTTATTGCAGCTGGTAGATTGCATTGTAAAGTTGATCGCGTTGGCGGAGTAGTAGAAACTAATCGTCCAGATAGTAAAAACTGGCAGTACCAAGCAATGGTAAAGCAAGGAGACTTGCTTCTTAATAGAGTACAAAAATTGTCACGGGTTATCAATATATGAATCAACATTCGATTTAAATCAATTTATTTGTGTCAAATATGTATCATACATTTTTCACATATTATGTAACTTTTTTTTTCTTTATCATCTAATAAGTTTGTTATATTAATGTATTTTTATCTTATATTAAAAATTATATTATCCTGTCATATTCGTATAAGAAAAAATTGCGAATTAACTATTTGAATCAGAGTTAGTGTTGTATTTAACAATAATATATTGGGAAATTTGTATTCTATTACCGACAGTTAAATATGTGCCGTTATCTAGCGGTACTAGCTTTTACTTTATATTACCGACAGTAGAATATATGCTGCTATCTAGTGATATTAGCTGTTCCTTCATCATACCGACTGATAAAATTATTTCGCTATCTAGTGGTAGTAGCTATTACTTCATCATACCGAATGGTAAAACATTTATCGTCATCTAGCGGTAATAAGTATTACTTTATTATACCGACCGGTAAAATATGTGTCGCCATCTAATCGGAAAAGCACTACATGCGCACGTAAACTCCCACGTGGGAGAAAAGCCCACGTCCTGGCATGACTGGGTGTGTTTTGTTTTTAACGCCCCCACTTCTTTGTTTCCCACTTTCTCTTTCTTTCCCTCTCTCACTCTCTATGAGAGGGTAAACGTGACCTGCGCTGTAAGTTAAAGTTCTCCGATCCGCCCAAGAGGGGGGGATTCGCGCACTTACTCTTCCTGTCAGTCACGTGGAGAAGTTAGGCGGTTACGGTTCGAGTTTCGCGCCTTCCTCTATACTTTTTCTTTTATTATTAGAACATTTGAAAATTCTTCAGGACGCTTAAAGGTACCTGCATCCACCGATTATTTCAATAGACCAGAGAGAACAAGTGGTCAAGCAAATCCACATCGATTAACACGACTTCGAGCTACCCGGTCTGAGAAAGTGTTCTGCGTCGAATTCAAGGGTAAGTCCTTTCTTTCATTTTTATTCATTTTTATTCATTTTTATTCATTTTTATTATTTTTTAATCATTTCTTTTTTTTTTTTTATATAGATTTGAAAGCAAACAATTTGATTGTCCAAGTTTAATGTTATGACGACTGACAAGATAATTATTACAATAGAAATATGAAGTTAATTAAAATATTGAGAAATTGTCAATACATTCAATGAGTTAAATGAATATTATAAAGCTTCTAAAAAGAGAAATATCCAATTAATAATTCTCTTTAATGTGAATTAATGGGATTGAAAAATCGTTAATGTTTTCTTGGCACATCTTTACAGAACTTTACATAATGTTTACCATCATCCTCGATTAGCTGAGAAAAAAAAGAGAAAGAAAGAATTAAAATATTTAGGTCATCTTAATTACACGAAGCTTTATTTTTGTATAAAGAATAACAGATGTTTTTCCAAACATATTAAATAAACAAGATTTGTTTGTAATACCGCAATATTCAAATTGCGGTATTACTGTATATGTGCATATATGTGCATATATGTGCATACGCATTTAGGTATGTAAATATGTAGGAGAGGTAGTAGCTGCGGGATACCTAAAAGCACTCGTACAATTGATGGACGACTTTCGTGGTATGGAAGATCACTCTCTCTCTTTCTTTCTCTCTTTTTTTATTTCGTTTCCCATCCTTTGCGAATTCAATCGGCTGAGCCTACTGTGAAAGAAGCAAATGAAATTTTAAACGCATTGTGTTTCCGCGAACAATCTTGTTAAACTTTTTTTCAGTAAAAGCGTATTCGTTCGTTTTTTTTTTCTATTTATCTTGGGAAATTTGTTTTTCTCTCTTTCTTGTTTCTTTTTTGTAGATTTATTTGAGAATAGAAACCCCTTAGTCTTAGGAAGCCGTGCGTCAACGATAATTATCGTTAGTAACAGAGATTGAGATCGTCTTGTAATAAAAAAACATGAGTAAATAGTTGGAAAATATTAGTAAAGAACATTGATTCTTGTTTCCTTCAATTTGGAGAAAAACTCGGTGTCGTAACCTTGAGCCACCTTTCCCTGCATCAGATCGATGCTTACAAGTAATAGGATAGATATATTAGAAACATTTCTCGTGAAAAATTGAATCTACGCTGACCACCCGAGGCTCTATAACCGTGCAACTAATTCCTCTTGTTAGCAACAGCAATGATAAAAAATGATAAATGTTGTTGTTATTTCTTTATTCGTGCTCCATTAGTGTTATATGATAAATAGAATTTGACGGGGTTAATTTTCAGATACGATCCGAACCTACATCACGAGTTGCTTATAATTCTTCTAGGAAAGCGAACTTTTCGATCGGTTTGATTCATCGATTAGCTTCAAATAATAAATGTCATACTAGATTGTTTACACGATAGGCATGCGAATTTTCTTTCGATCTCTCTTTTATTCCCTACGCTGGACGAATTCAAACGGAAATTATTTCTTATTCCTAGATAAAGACTAGTTGTCAAAAGTATTGTTGTCAAGAGCACAGTTGTCTCTCCCTTTTTTGCTTTCTCTTTTTCTGCAGGTGACAGAGTAGCGTATCATCGAAACGATCCTTTATCTCAAATCTTTACAATACTTTCCATTTTCTCGAGAAACAACCGCGAAGGTAACGATATAACATGTAATGTTATTTCTAAATGTTGTTTAATGCTCTTACTAGTTTTATTGACCCTCCTTAACTAAATGTAACTAACAATAAGACAAATATCATGCAACTCGCCCTACGAAAAAAACAAGTTTTAGAATTGAAATTCAAAGTAAAGAAGATTCTAAAGGAAGATTGATCGCTTCAATTCGGAAAACTTTGTCTTCGTTTGCGAGGGACAACTTTATTATCACATTTTATGTAGTGTAGGATTCTCTTATGAAAAGAAATATACCTTGACCGGTTGATAAAAAGCATCTGTACATATATATAGAGAATTTAATGGCACTTTGTCCATCGTCGTTTTATTACGTATATATATATATATATATATGTAACTTTATATATATACATATACTTTATAACGCCGACTTTTATGACAGATTGGTAATGTTTCGCGATTCGTGACTTTAATTTTCTTCACGCGAAATAAAGATAAGAAATGTGGTGCTGTGTGGAAAATTTTGTAAAACGCGTCGCGATTCTCTTCCCTCTATTGATTGGCGTTAGGAACTGCATCGTATCTTTCTTCGGCAGCCCTTCAATTATCTTCCTAGCTAGTTTTTCATCTATCGAACGTTCCTGGTTATTATGTGTTACCTAACCAGACCTCCCGTTAACAGCTTTACATAACGAAATACCGCTGGTTGTTAGTGGTTAGTGCTTGATAACCAAATCCACAATATTCTTCGACAATTTAATATAGTTCATTTAAAAGGAATCACTTTCAATTACGATATAAGCTCATTTCAAAATTACATTAAAATTTCATCAGAGACAATTAACCCTTTATGTCTTTGAAAAAAAGAAATGTTGTAGTTCGAACGTTGATATAATTATCTTTTGCTTCTTTCGTATCTCCGCCACGATTTTCTCCACTCTTTTTATCCGTTGTCTGGCAAGCTTTTAACGTTAAGCACATCTTCCCCTGAAATACGAGAGTTTGAATTGGATTTTGTTGTTGCGACACATCCCTTTTCACAAGTATTTATGTACACTCATCGATAGCATAAACCTATCGTCACACACACATACGTGAGCTTATTCTTCCATTCTTTCGTTCTTTTATCCCCTTTAAGCGCAATACAATATAGTACACTATATAACACGTTTTATTTCTGAATTGCAAATTTTCTATGGTAAAAAATTCATCTTAAGACGTTTTCTATTTTAGATTTTCGAGGAAAGAAATAAATTCGAAGTGGAGGGTGATGATCGTGGCAGAAAACATCGATATGTCACCTCTTTGCCAGTTAAATATCAAAGCATCAATGTCAGCGGTAAGTACCATAAACGAATCGAGATATGATTCTATAATCATGATGTTTGTATTTTTTCTTTTTTCCTTTAGGTGACGTAACTAAAATCGAGGTGGTGCTGGAAGAAGCACCAGACGACAATACCGTCCTTGCTGGTTCTATACCTTCGGAATTCAATGCCAGCATCGAATTCAACTCAACATATCCAGGTGGTAAGCTCGACAAATGGGGGATCAAATTGCTTTACAAATATTTTTAATTGATTAATCTTATATATTTTTCATAAATGATCATATATGTGTATGCATTTTTAATCTTCTTTCAAATGTAAGATATTCCAACTTGTTAGTTCAAAGAACTATAAATTTCACTCGTTGGATGATATAGGTCCGAGCATTACTCATAAAGAAATAGTGCAGTAAATGCACCAGCACCATTTTGCACAGATCCTCCTATGTCCATTTCCAGATTTATTGGTGCCGATTCAGAATCAGAATCAGAATTAACCCAACTCATATTTTGCGTAAAGTATTCGTCGAGATAAGACTTTTTTTTTGGTTACTTTGTAAAGGTCGCTTATGTTAGGTTTTACCGAGAGAGAGATATGGGTGTTTTGTCGAATCGTTTAACGACGAACGCACTCACTATTCTCTAAAGTTGTTATCGTATCGAGGCTTCAAAGGAACTTCAAACGGTGGTGCTACAGCCACCGTTATCGTTTAACAATCACCCTTTTCGCATTCATTTCGGTGCACTTTTAATTGACTTCCTTTGACAATTTTCGCAAAGGGTTCATATTTTTTTTGTAGGAATTCCAGAAACCGGAACGGTCGTGGTTAGAGCCGAGGAAGCACTGATCGTCATCCTAGTTCTCTTCCTTTGGGTTGCAGCAATAGCCTTATTTTTTAATCGATGGGGAAAGATCAGAATGTTGGAGCCCTATCAACCGAAGTTTCAGCAACAACACAGACCAAGCTGCACGATGGTCGACATGAACGCGCTTCCGGTTAGAACTCTATTTCTTTTCCTTTACTTTTGTTAGCACAGTAAGCTTTCTCTCTCTCTCTCTCTCTCTCTCTGTTACGGATTTTATAAAATAAATTCTAATGCAACGTCGTTTATCATTCCTATACATGTATGAATGCATTTGCATAATAGGTATTTGCGTACGTAGGTAGATAGAATATCGATGTTGAAGGGGCTCGAGTGGTATTGAGTAAAACATTTCTCTTGATTTATTTCGTATAAAGAGAGAGAGAGAGAGAGAGAGAGACATTGTTAACATTTGTTAACATTTTCAATCGCGATCACAATAATGTAGATGTAACGGAAGCTTCAAATTGATTCAACATAGACTTTAAATTTTAGTTGGATTTTTTGTTATGGTTGTTGAAACGTTTTCATGGTAAAAAGAGATCTTATGTTAGAATCGATATACGGCTTGGAGTTAGCTCGCAACATCCGCAATGCGTACCAAAATACTCATCCAACATAGAGGAGTGCAACGTCCTCGGTTTGTTAACGCTTACTAGCTTTGCCGTGTACGAATATTTATAGTCGATCGAGAACGTTGTCCTTTCGGGAGTTTCATATCGCATTACATTGGGAGTATACGAAAGAACAGATAGAAATTTTATAAACAAATTATAAAATACCAAGAATATCTGTGTTGAGCATTTTTGTAAGCAATCTAATTTTCGTGTTTATCAATCGTTGCTAGGTAAAATTAGCGCATCGTTAATTTTTCCTATCGATTTTCGATAGGCTCTTGTCATATCGAACGAAACGAGAAAGAATGAGAAAACTATTGTGATCATTTATTGTTAGATCGAACAAATGCATTGCACTATTTTCCGATAATGAGGATCGAACGTTATTTAATCGTATTATCTAACTTACAAAGTTTAACTTGCAATTGGAAAACTCTGCTGGATTTCGTTCGGAATATTAATTGCTCCCCTCTAGTGAACCCTTCGTGTTGTAGTATTGTAATACTTGTTTACGTGGACTGACAGGATCATCCGGTGCACCAGGGTAGCTGCGTAACAAGCACCACCGAGTGTTGGAGACCCAGACAAAACAGCGTGTTCGTCGGTTCGAGCAGTTTATCCCTCGTAGCGGTTGATCAGGAGACCCCGAGACGACGCGCCAAAAGTGCGTTCGACCTGCAATCTCTCGTATTGGCTGAGTGTAACAACCTAAGAAGTAGCTTTGATAAGGAGGAAGAAGTAGTAGTAACTAATTTAAAGCCAACTTCGAAATTGGGTCAACGGAGGACCAGCGTTTGTCAATTGTTGTTGGATAAACCATTGCAACAGCGAGAAAGAGGGATGAGCGTGTGTCACGTTGATCGTGGAGAATATCAAATACTTCACAATCAAAATTCTTCCCAGAGAGATCGAGGTATGAGTATTTGTTACTTCGATAGGACGGACGTATTGGCGAAGCCACTTCAAAGGGACCACCACCGAGGTTCTTCGAACATTTGTCATTTCGACAGAATGGACGTGTTGGCTAGTAGTAGACCAACGCCTTGTTTTCGTGATCGCACCAGCGTTTCTCAATTTGACAGAATGGACGTTTTGGCAAATCCAACTTCCTCTTATCTTGGTAAATCCCTCCTTAGAGAGAGACGCATTAGCGTTTGCAACTTTTCGCGTCTACCCTCATCGAATAATCTCGATAAAATCGAGACTATGGTTCGATCAACTCCTTCACCTTCTTCAGCCGTTTCCTCTTTGATTATCGAACCCCGTGAAGATCCACGTACCGATCAAAATAATCAAAATAATCATGATAATAGCATTGCCTATTATTTTGATCGACCGTCCTGTAGTAAAACACCGGACGTTGTTTTAGGATATAAAGCTACGTGCGTTTAAATTCACTCGATCGAAGCTTGCTCAATTTTTCTATTTCATTAATAAATAAATAGAATATTTTGTTCCCAATATAAATATGTTTTTTATTAATGATAAATCATTTGGATACGTTCGTAAGTATAATATGATAGATTCGAATAGTTCCTACTTAAATAGTTTCTAAGTTCTATTCATTGAAACTTATTTCATTTCCTCGCAACCGGTTATTATATTAATCGAGAGTAAGCTTCGTTTAAATATAAGCTCTTTGAAATAACAAGAAGAGTTTTGAGCGGTGGTCAAGAAGTTCGTTGGACCAATGAAGAATATTTTTTCATATTAATCGTGATTCCTTTTCATATTTAACGAAAGGGATGATAACAAACGAACGTGATAATTCTATTAAATCAATGATAACACAAATGTGAACAAATATTTTCTATTTAAATAATATCTCTTTTATCGCACAATCGTAGCTTAGCTAACACCAAAGAAAATTTCATTTCTTTCTTAACTACACCAATAATATTCTATATTTCAAATGAATATATATTATATCTATGTAGAAAATTTGGATGTCTTTATATAAAGTTTTTTGGGAAATAAATCTTCTAAATTAGTTGTAGATGAAAATATAAGATTAGAAGGTATTGAGAGCATATCTTTTAGCCAATTGGCAATATTTCAAACGATATTCGTTGAAAAGAGTATTCTAACACGAAATGTACATTTTTATATATATAAAAAAAGAAAAGAAAAAAAAAGACAAAAAAGAGAAAACTAAGCCTCGTGCCCTTATTTACTTTTTTGATACAACTTCGTTAGAAATAAATCGAGAATGTTGGCCAAATTACGGGATTAATTCCGTGCTTTTCAGTCGTCGTGATTTTCCTTCTGAAATTTATTCTCTATGCTCGATTAAAGGCTCCTCTCCTTGATACAAAGTGACAGCTTTTAAAGAATAATATCGTCAATCAAAAACAGACAAAAATATTTGTTTGTCAGGTTACTTGAAATATATATAAATACATGTTTTTAATAAGTATTAATTGTTTTGGAAGTTTTTCCAAATATCGTTTATGTTTCATAACAATCAATTGAAAGTTTTTCCATCGTATTACTTTGACGTTGTTTTATAAAAGAATAGAGAACGTACCGAGGAGAATTTGATATCGAGAGTTCTTAAAGGGGAACGTAACTGAGGTGAGAGAGCTTTTACAGAATGAATTATTATTTTTATTAAAGACGATTAATCAGATGATATACAAAATGGAAATAACGCTTAGTTCATATTACGTAATCTGTTATCGAACACGATATACAATATAAAAGTGTTTTTTTATTTACGTGTTATTCAATTTAGATATTTTCTGTATCTTAACCACAAAAAATAAACTCTCGAAATGTTTTAGATAATGTAAGATGATAAAAGATACATTTTCTTCGTGATTCTTTAGTACATAGTTATATTATTCGAAACTTCCAAGTAAGATCTTTTATACTATCCAATTCCTAGTCATGTTTGAAAATAAATGTAGATATTTATCCTCAAACGTCAGAAAAAAATAATTTTAACAAAATATACTCTCTCTATATATAGATACAAATATACATATATTATAATCTTATAGGAAGAATAATTTTCAAATAATACAATATTTTGTGAGAAAATAAAAAAAATAAAAATATTTAACGTCTCCCGGATGAAATAAATGTGTGTGTGTGTGTGAATCGATATTTATATAATTATCAATAAATTGAAATTTAATTAAAATTCGTGTCGCGTTATTATAGCACGACAACGGGACCTTCTATATATGTAGATTTAGTCGAGTTTAAAAAAAATAAAAATGATCGTTAGACTAACCAAAGAATTCTTTTCAAAAGTAGGCGCTTTTTTTGCTGTTTTAAAGTAGACGGATAATATACTTCGTTATTTTATTTCATTTCGAAATGAACAAAAGTCTCTTCAATGAAATGAGATAAAATAATTACATAATATCTACGAATAATTATTTTTACGACGACTGAAAGAAAGCAAAAAAAAAGCAAAAAAAAAAAAACAAAAAGACTAGTCAAATAAGTAAGATTAACAAGCAGACGAATTTTTTAATTAGTATTAAGTTATTATAATTATTTGTACGTATAAATCTTGAATGAAATTACGGAACATAATCAAAATGAATCTAGTAGTAGCTGCCTAATAACGATTTTTAATTATAACGATGGACGACTCTTTATTAAAGATAAACGGGGCACGCGTTTTAAGGATGATTAAAATATGTTTAACATAAACTCGTAAGCGTAATCAAAATAAATACTGAAATATAATACATTATGCAACGAGTCCTATGTCGTTTTCAACGCCTCTAATCATGGAAATCTTGTAAATTATTCGTCGATTTACGTTGTTAAATGGATATATTATTAGTTAAGATATGCCATATATTGATAGTAGTATAAAAAAAAAGTAACATAGTCTGTCGTCTTCATAAGACAGTAATGAACAACTGTTGGATATTTCTCTAAAATATTCTGTGTATAATATTTATTTATATATATATATAGTTATCCTATAAATAATAAATTCGAATTTGTGAATAAAAATATCAGTAAAGGTGAATTTTAATTGTCATTACCCATGGAAAAATTCTATTCCAGGTTAGAAGAAAATAAGAAAACTGAATTGAATAATTGGGAAAATTCTAAAGCTACCGCTTTAGGAATTAGAAGAACAAGAAGGGAAAATAAAAGCATGCCAAGATCAAAGAAAACCGCATATCGAGCTATCTGCTAACGTTGAGCTTACCACTAAAGGACTCTAATATCCCACAAGGTTAATGTTACCACGGTACCACTTAAGAGTCTCCACTTTCCTTAGTATTCTATCCGGGATAAGCTCGAAACCGAGCTGGTGAACTGAGTTATTCTTACGAGTTAGCCTTGAATCCAAAGATATCAGAACAGGTAGGAATGTATCTCGTTTGTCCTACCCTTTGCCCTATTTGATTTAGATTGTTTAATCAAATTGATAAAAGATAGAGGGTAAGAGAAGAAAACAGGATCAACTCGATAAGCTCGTTGTAAGTTCCTTGCTCCTTGTCATTCTACTCGAAAGAACTTACTTAGACATTCTGGGAAAATTCCGAGAATTCGTAGCTCCCAACGAAATAACCTGAGCTCTCTTTCTCTTTTACGGTAATATTATGTAAAAGATAGGTAATAGTGACGGTGGTGGATGCTGCAATCTCTTTTTCGTACTTTTACTTTTATTGTGGTATTGTCTGAGTGATTTGATTATATTAAAAAACCTAACTATATTAAGTATGTATGTCTGTGCACGTGGCATAAGTTTGCCGCGACCCACATTGCTCTTAACTCGTTGATTTTATAATATAACTTAATCGGATTATAAGAGAACGTAGAAAGGAGCATTCTGTTAAAGTTTGACGATAGAGGAGGGAAGGGATCCATTTCCAAAGGATATAAATATGCGTAGTGCTAGTTGAAACTACTTGATTTTGATAGTAAATTATTATAATTCCTTCGAATGAAATGTTATGGAGGATAGCACCGATAAAATGATCTCCCTTTAAAGAGACCATTACGTATAATTCTATCCAAGGTCATAAAAAAATGTACCTTGACACAGTTTTGCATTTAAACTGGCACGGAGGTTAAAGACACTGTCAGTCATCATCCTTTGAGAGCTCACATCAATTCTTATTGGTAGAAGCAAGTTTTATTTCTTAAAATAATACATCAACCACACCTACACGCGTATCTACTAATTATTTTTATTCTTAAAATAGTTGTTCTTTGGTGAAAAAAAAATACCGAGGGATCTTGAAGATCATTTTTCTTACCGAACTATAGTTGTAACTTTGAAAAATCCTTTCTCGACGTTTTTACCAAGACTCAAGGATATTCTTGAGTAAAAACATGAGAGGATGCCTTGGAGGCGAGAAAAAAAGTCATGGGGGGGGGGGAGAGCGAGAGGATGGTTTTAAAAGAAAAGGGGAAGAAAAAGAGGATAAGAAAATCCATCCTTCGATCTAGTGTCTTTCTTTTTCTCTCTCTCGAGAGTACATTATTTTTTATCTCTAACCTTTGGGCTTTTCCTAATCTAGTTCGTGAAATAAGGGGAAAAAAGAGATAATGTCTATCTCGAAAAGTAGAATTTTTGAAGATGAAACTTTTGATACAATGCAGGAGGTCTTATCATAGTACTGTACGTAAAATAAAATCGATCCCTTGAATTTCTTATGCACGCTGCGAACGACGGCACATTGTGTGTTATATGCACAATGAAACGATTTTAACACCGAAAGAATTTTAAGAAGCCACGGAATCTCTTTATTTTCCAACATTCATTAACGTTCGTTACGTAGCTTGAGATTGAACCGCGAGTCCTGACGTGGGTTAATAATATTTAAATACTTTTCAAAATTTTTATCCAATTCCTAATTAGATTTGTTAGAAAAAAAAAGAGGACAAATTGAAAGGAGACGAAATAGGAAATGGTTGGGAAAGAAAAGAACAAATCGAGTGGTCGTTGGTAATGGTTTCGGGCTCGTTCATTTCGGAGAGGTGGTGGTAGGTAAAGGATCGAACGATAAAAAAAAAGAAAAAAAAAGGAAAAAAAGGACGATCCTTTGAGATTGGTTCGCTCGATTCGAAGGGGATGTGGAGGGAAGACAACTTATGGCCGAATTGTTCTTAAAAAGGCTTAGGATCAATCTCGAGGAAAACGAAAGAATTTAATAATTTTGTCAAAGTAACGGTAAGAGATAAAGGAGGTTTTTATTTGCAGTTAACGCGAACGATCATTTTCCAACCAGTTAAGCTTCCGTGTCTTTAAATTCTAGGGAAAAGCCGAATGCACTTTATGTTAAAGCCTTCAACGATCTCATTCTTCTATACTCCAATATATCCAAAGTGCCAGGTTCGGATTTTAGAAAGCGAACGCCCTGGGCCAACATTTTCCTATTTTGCCTAGTTTCAATCTTTCTTTTCCTCTCTATAAATTCGCCCCCGGCAAATGGCAAATGTCTTATCAAAGAAATCTACTTGCCACTTGGCTCGATCGTTGATGTCATCGATAATACGTTTATTATTATTATTAATTTTGCCCGTGATTGATATTCTCAAAGTTCTTTGCCAGTAGGCGAAATTTAATCAGTTTTGCCTTTAAATACGTAATAAACGTAAGCGTATATATATATATTGTATTAACGTATAACGCAAACCGAAGCCTCAACCAAGCCGCGGATGGAATTAATTTCGCAACATAGGAATGGAATAAAGGATAAATTATTTAACTCCTACAGGAATAGCTGATGTCTCAACGCTTTTGAATTTTCCTTTTTTTGTCTTCTTTTTTTCTTCTTTATTCATATGCAAAGTCTGTTTTACTACGACCATTCTTTTTTACGAAATAAGTTTTTCTTTTCATCCTGACGAAAGAAAAAAAAAAGATTGATAAAAATAGCAGCGTTGATTTTAATAAAACGAAAGGCATCATATCTCCGTGTAATTTGTTTGTAATCATTATTTTCTTGTCGTATTTTCGTAGCTTCGTTAATGTTCAAATAATGTCTTTTCTTTTCCATTCTTTTAAGCAGGATACAACTAAGGTTTCCTTTCGCTACGTCCAAGTGCCATCGAGGATAAGTACTTTGCCTGAACGAACGAACGAACGAACGACACCCTTTTCCATTTTCTTCCGCCAACACGCAGAGAGATAGATAGACAGAGAAAGAGTTTACCTTATCCTACCCTACCTGATGTACTTTTATGTAAACGCGTAACTGTATTCGTGCGTTCCATCTTCTTGAAGTCCCTGTTTTTTTTTCTTTGAAACGCCTTCGCATTTTCTCTTCACAACACGCCCGAGTCATCTTTTTTTTGTCTTTTTGATGGATCTTACATTAGAACGATTACGAAAAGAAAGCCTCGAAAAAAGCTGTCTCGGTTTAACGAGTTAACTAGAAGTAAAAAACAAAACCTCGACTCATCCTTCAAATTTTATTTTACAAAATTTGATCATACGTGTTATATGGCATACCAGATGTACGTGAAATAATAATAATAATAATAATAATAATAATAATAATAATAATAATAATAATAATAATAATAATAATATTAATATTAATAATAATAATTGAAAAATGAAAGAAAAGTTGTTTGTTTAAATTCGCTTCTAGTCGATAAAAATATTTATTTTGCTTGTCGACGAGCTCATTTATCAGAGGGTTGTCCCCACTCCCATCGTGCAAAATATTTCTTACGCATTGTCATACGCACACACAACCGTCGTCGGTCTCTAGCCGCATGATGGATGATGGATGGACGGGAGGGAGTGGGCTTTCTCCTCGCACTCCGTTGAATCTTTTGCTTTTGCTCGAATAATCGCTAGAAGATTGTCGATTGCAGATCCTATCTCATATCTTTCTTTTCTTGACATTTTTTCTGGTTTTTTTTTTTTTTTTTACAATAAAATAAAAATAAAGTAGAATTTTTGTGTGGACTTTTCTTAAGTAAAATACATTTCTCTCGGTAGAAACATCTCAGGAAAAGAAATGGTAGTTATTTTATAGATTATTGGCACATTGCCATAACACGTTTGCAAAACAATGCTTGCGTATAAAACGAAACGACGATGAGAGAGAGAGAGAGAGAGAGAGAGAGAGAGAGAGAGGAAAAATAAAATACCTTTAGAATGACTAACGCGTCAAATCACCCTAAATATCTGTCAAATATGCACAAAAGTTCTATCATTGTATGTAGTGTATAATATACAAAATACGAATCGCGCAGAAAGTGAATTTTCAAAAAGTAATCGAGTTAATCTTGTTCTCATTCTTTTTTTTTACATAGAAAAAAATGAATTTCTATTTGAATTTTAATGAAATAATCGCGTTATTCATACGCATATCGATATTTTACCGTAGAAAGAAAAAAAGGGGAAATTTGGAATACGATTTCGTTAATTCAATCGAATAAATTGCAAAAGTTTAATTAAATCGCGTATCGATCGTCCTTCGAAATTTATTCGTTTCGGCCTAAGGTATTGGCAGATAAACCTCCGATAGAAAATAATAAACTCCCATTGACTGGCAAACTATGCCAATAATAGTTTTAATTGGTGTTTGGTGTGGTGGCGATTTTTTACCAAACGTTTATTGTTTGTCCAAACTACGAGAGGAATATTCTATTTCTCTGTGTTCTCTTTCGCGAATGAACAAGTTGCGCGATGTATCCTTGCGCGAAAATCGATGCAGCAAACAACGCGTTGAAAGGAAAACGTATCGAAAAGAAAACCTTTTATTCGTATCATTGAATCGTGTAATGAGATTGTTGAATAACGCGCAATATATCCAAAAAAGGAAAGACAACAAAAATTGAACAAATAATAATAGAGGGTTGTGTCACACCGATATTCGTTAACAAGTCCAGTCACAAATGTATGTAATCGGTCAAGTTGAGCCGTCATCCTTGTCTTCTAGTTATCCGAATATCGGGTCAAGGTTATCAGGCTCTCTAATGGACCAACCGGTCACCATGATTCTTGATAGCTACGTTGAATCAATGGCTATCATCTCGGAAATGGGCGTTTGCCCATGCCCCTGACGCAACCCTGACAAACAAATCAAGGACGATTTTCTTTTATTTCGAATCAAATTAACGTTCTAAAATGTTCTTATCGAATTTATACGAGTAACTAGGTTTGCGAATATACGAATGATAGAGAAAGAGAGAGAGAGAGAGAGAGAGCGAGAGGGAGAGAGAGAGATAGAACAAGGTCCGGATAATAATTATGCGCGCTTTACGGTCGTAAATTATACCATGTCCCGTAGTATAACAGAGGAAACGTTATATATGTATATATAAATGAAATGAAAGCATTGTTTGGGAAACGTGCGTAATAGTGTGAGAAATGGAAAATATACAACGACGACGAGGAAGATTTGAAGAATATTCTAAAATTTCTTTTTTGTCAAGAAAGGTCAACGAACTAGGATGTTTGATTACGATTATTGTCGAAGATTTATTCATGTGTAACGTGTGAAGAAGAGTGATAGTAGGAGAATCGTTCGAGAAAGGGACCTTAATCAAAGTGAACGGCTTATAAGAGGGCGCACGACAAATGTTTCACTCACAGTTCATCGAGGAGTCTCGCGAGTCAAAGCAAAACCTAATAATTCTAACAGACATTACTTTCTTTCTTCTTCATTTAGTTTCGTTCGAGTTAACGAAGTCTTATCTTTATTCTAGTTAAATATATTATCAGTGATTCTCGATATTATTATCGACGAATACCAATGAATTGAACAAAAATCGACAATTATCCGTTATAAAACGACTTTGTTGTTTCTACTAGCAATAAGAGAAAGGCGTGTGTGATTTAAATCAATCAGTCCATTCATTGGAAAAAAACGTTTGGAATCTATTGAAGAAAATTAATTGAATTTCTTATCTAATCGCATAAATTGCTTTTACTTATTGGTAAATAAGATCGTACATAGTTTTTCTTAATCGAATTGTATGTGTATTACTTTCCGAAGTTTCTTTCATTTAAAGGCGACACATCGTGGACATAAGAGAAATCGTTGTTGTTGTTGTTTTTGTTGTTGTTGTTATTATTCGGTGAGTCATCCGATAAAAAGAAAATAATTGCTTAGTCATAATTTAATAGTGGCGTAATGTAAATGTAATCATATGATAAGCGTGATTATCGAGTAGTAGCGAATGGAACGACAACAAAGACAAATCCAAAATGTTCAAATCACAAAGGAATCTCTACCAATAATAAGTTCTAAATAAATCGGAAGGAAATTTGCATATTTTACTTAATCACCATGGTGCTCGGTACTAGGTAATTAAAAATACAAGACGGAGATGCAAATGAAATATGTGAGTTACTATTAAAATAAAATCGTTCTATTCGCAGCGAGGAAAATGAATCCATGTTAGGGAACAATCCGGCTAAATATACAAAAGTTGACAAGGCTAAGGATGTCATTGAAGATATTCAAAATAACAACAGTAATACAAATTTGGACGGTTTGTACGAGGTGGAAAATGTCATAAATCGATACTCGTCGAATTGGAAAGCAATTTTTGCTCAGGTAAATGACAAATTCGTAAGAAAATGAAGAAGAGTAGGACGATTCAAATACGATCGACAAAATGTTGTCCTTCTAATATAATTATTGCAGTGTTTAGTAGCTGGTGCTGTTTTATTATTGGCAGCCGGTGCTGGGATGCCTATCGGTTACAGCGCTGTACTTTTGCCACAATTATCTGTGAAGAATGCAACCATGTACGTAGATCGCGAGCTCGGATCGTGGATAGGCAAGTTATCCTTCTTCCAAAATGTTATGTTTATATGAAAAGTACGAATCATTTATTGGTTTAATTGACCCACTTAGTATAAACATTTGCTTATTTCAAATATTCAATGTTATTTGAAGGACTATTTCTTGAATTTCATTCAATTAGAAAAAAGTGTCTTTCCGCGAACTAAAAAGTATTGCATTCTTTGCAAGAGAAAATTGGGACACTGAGGATAAGAAAGGAATTTGAACGTTCGTCCCTTTTGTATTCTTTGTGCTCTTCTATACGGCTCCATAAAAGATTAAATGTTTGTTTTAATGTTTCGTCTATCTAACGATTACAAGCCATTAAAGCGTTATATTCAATGCGTTTCAATTGATACGAAAATTGCTCCTACATAAAAGAAAAGAAATGAAAATAAATAAATAACGCTGAGAAATATTGTCCAATAGCATCGGTCCATAGTTTGGCAACTCCGATAGGATCGCTGCTCTCGGGTTCATTTCTAGACATATTAGGCAGACGAGGAAGTTTGCAATTATCCGCAATACCACTTTGCCTTGGCTGGATCGTAATGGGTTTGGCCAAAAACATTCCCACTTTACTCTGTGGTCGAATCATCTGTGGTGTCGCAGTTGGATCTATAGCTGTACCGAGTCAGGTAAGCGCGATAATATTTTCTATACTTTTATTTATGTATTGTACTTTTATAATATATCGCGTTGTTAATAGGTATTTGTAGGAGAGACCGCCGATCCAGGACTACGTGGAATTTTAGTTGGTAGCTCTTTTGCTGCCTACAGTTTTGGAATACTTTCGGTTTACGCTTTCGGAGCATTCTTAAAATGGAACGTCGTTGCTTTTTGCAGCATCGTTTTACCCATTCTTGCTTTTTTTTCCCTTATGTTCTTACCGGAAAGTCCCATTTGGTTGATTAGACAAGGAAAAATTGAAAAAGCGAAAGATGCTTTGTTGTGGTTGAGAGGAGGCGATATAGAACAGGTATTTTTTTCGTATGATTAATTTCATTACAGATAATGCAATAATGCTTCGCGTGCTTTTAGATGAACACGGAAATAACTATATTGGAAGCCAGAGCGAAACTTGATGCTGAACAGAAATCATTAGCAACGTCATTTGGTCAACGAGTATCCTTGACGATGTCCATTATCACTAGCCCTAACGTGCTTAAGCCCTTGTTCATCATAAACATCTTCAATGTTTTGCAATTAAGTAGCGGGACCTACGTAATAGTCTTCTACGCGGTCGATCTTGTTCGAGACATCGGTGAGTTGCCTATGACGTTATCTCTAATTTCATATATTTTACGATCAATGTTCATGTTTGTCAATCTATACAATTTTTTGATCGTCATACAGGTAGTGACAATATGGACAGTTATTCAGCCGCCATAATAACGGCACTAACAAGATTCTTTTTCTCTCTGCTAGCCTGCTTTTTATTTCTTAAAATTGGCAGACGTAGTCTTGGTATTTTTTCAGCGATAGGTACGAGCCTTGCTTCGTTTGTACTTGTGGCATATACCTTGATAAAGACAGAAGAATCCGCTATGGATGTAAGTGGTTTTATTTTTCCTCTTCGATTGGTGTGGGGATATATTTTGCATAGATGTTAAATTGACGCATACTTACATACATATTTCAGGCATACGTTCTTGGTATATGTTTGTTCGCTTACGTTGGCGCCAATACCGTAGGTTTGTTCACGCTCCCAGGTTTGATGATCAGCGAATTGTTACCGCAAAATGCTCGAGGTATCGCTGGTGGCTTCAATTTCTTTATTTTCAACATTTTAGTATTCATCGCTACGAAATTTTTCCCAGCGGTATTTACATTTTTGACTATTTTTAAAAACCATTTACATACACTTGTGTGTTTATTCAAGATAATGTTTTATCGTATTGAATTGTAGATAAATAATGCAGTAGGTATAACCGGTGCCTTTACTATTTTCGCTATATTTGCGTTATTAGAGGCAATTTTTGTCTACGTTGCATTACCAGAGACGATGAATCGTACGTTAGAACAAATAGAAGATTACTTTCAGGTAAGAACAAAGAATACTAACGAGTAGCTACTTCAAATAAAAACGCATCGTAATTCATTATTCGTTCATCATTTTTTTTTTCAGCAAAGTAATTTATTATGGATTACCAGATCGAAAGAAAAAAGACAAAATAATGAACTCACGAGACTTTCTTAATTTTTGTCCACTGTCTCACAGTTGTGTGTAAATAGATGTGTTTCTTAATTTTTATCAATATGTGTGTCGAATTTATCTCTTTTTAAGAATAATTCTTTTTTTTTTTTGTAATTGTAAGTAACGTAAGTTGTATAAAGATACCATTGAGTAACATAATGATGTCACTAATATAATAAGATATTGGACTTGATTTTGATGAAACTCATTGTACAGAATAATACTCATGATGTTGATTAAACTAATTGTACAGAATAATACTTATTTTACAGACTTCACTTTTATTTATCGGTTCATTTGCACAGATATGTTGAATAACAATGTTTTCTTCTTCTAGAAGATAAATATAACAACTTTCTATTCCGTTTAAAGAAACTTCGTTTCGAATTAGATAAACCTTGCATACATCTATCTTCTGAACAATATGTCATAGTTATAAATATAATTGTCGCATTATATGTAATATTTTTGTACGATAAAAGACAACTTTAATAGATTATTTACTATTATTATCACTGTTAAAAAAAAAAGAAGAAACAACAACAAAAAATGGCAGAATACGTTTGATCTACGCAATGAAACCGTTTCTAATAATACGTAATGTGAATACATCGTTATTACGTAAACTGATCACTTTGAATGTACTTAACAAATGAACTTTGTAATATGACCGCATAGTATACAGTTTCCTTTTTAAGCGTGTGGATTACGGAATTTTTCTCCGGCAAATTTGGCAGCTGATCCAAGTTCTTCCTCTATACGAAGGATTTGATTGTATTTGGCTAAACGTTCGGAACGACATGGTGCGCCAGTTTTAATTTGACCGGTCGACAAGCCAACAACCAAATCAGCGATGAACGTATCTTCAGTTTCTCCTGAACGATGAGACACCATGGTGCCCCATCCATTCTCTTTACCGTATTTGTGAGCGGCGATCGATTCGGTAACCGAACCTATTTGATTGACTTTTAACAAAAGGCAATTGCAAGCCTTCTTCTCGATCGCTGTCTTGATTCTAGAATATTAAATAAGAAACATATGAAATATAAGATTGGAAATAATTTGTCATTTCTCGCTTGATTTTTCGCTTACCTAGTTGGGTTTGTTACAGTGAGATCGTCTCCGACAATCTGAATTGGGGTAGCAGCTGTCAAGGATGCCCATGATTCCCAAGCATCTTGATCGAAGGGATCTTCGATCGATACGATTGGATAGTTTTTCACGAAATCCAAATATAAATTTTGAAGTTCTTCCGGCTTCAAATAAGCGTTAGGATCGGATTTTTCGTTCTTGAAATCCAAATCGTATTTTCCGTTTGTGTAGAATTCGGATGCAGCCACGTCCATACCAATCTTTATTTTTCCTTCGTAACCGGCAGTCTACGGATGTACGAATAATCGTATTATAAACAAATAATTTTATTAACAATAATTCCAAGTTTTTTTAATTCTTACTTTAATGGCATCTATGATCAAATTCAAAGCTTCTTTGTTTTCCAAAATGTTTGGAGCAAAACCACCCTCGTCGCCAACGGCGGTAGCATCCAAGCCAAACTTCTTTTTAATTCCTGCTTTGAGATGGTGATATACCTCGCTGCCCATTTTCATAGCTTCGGTGAAGCTTGAAGCACCGGTCGGTAAAATCATGAATTCTTGCATGGCCAATTTATTGCCAGCATGGGATCCACCATTGATTACATTGAAGGCAGGAACTGGTAAGATGATTTCATTGTTTCCAGCCAATTCTGCGATATACCTACAATTCAGGAATATAAATAATATAAATACTATCAATCTTATACATCTTTAGCAGCGTACTTGTATAGTGGAATCCCTTTCTTAGCAGCTCCTGCTTTACAAACAGCAAGTGAAACGCCTAAAATTGCATTGGCACCAAGTTTAGATTTGTTGGGAGTCCCGTCTAATTTAATAAGGAAATTGTCGATTTCGGTTTGTTGAGTAATTTCCAAGTTGGCCTAGAAAAATTATTCCTATTGTGATAGTTGTCGTTGCATATATATAGAAATTCTTGTCCAAAGTTTATATACCTTCAATAATTCAGGAGCAATAATAGAATTAATGTTATCCACAGCTTTGAATACAGATTTTCCATGATATTTCGATTTATCGTTGTCACGAAGCTCCAGGGCTTCGTGAATTCCCGTTGACGCACCGGATGGTACAGCAGCACGGAAAAGACCACAATCTGTGACTAGGTCAACCTGAAAATGAACCGATAACATCGTGTAACCGTGAACTTCATGAGAAAAAATAAATATTAGAATTTGCTTCAAATAGAAAATAGAAATATTCTTACCTCTACGGTTGGATTGCCACGAGAGTCAAAAATCTGACGAGCTTTAATACTTTTAATTGCCATATTGTTGATTATATCGCAGTTCACGGATGAAAATCTATAAATAACGTGACATGATTACAACTACGACGACCAATATATCAATCAAAAGCTCATCTATATGCGCGCGACCTTATAGTATTTCTTAATTCCTATTCATTTCTATTTATATTCTTTTGAAAGGTATTGTGAAGTAAATATTTCCAATTACGATAAACAATGACATTAAGGAATTAAATTACGATGCTCGAAATGGTAGAGGATGTGTCAGAAGATACACGCCTTTGAATAACTTTTAACCTTGACAAGGTCAACGCTAAGAGGACCCATTTAAATGCATATATAGATATATATCAATGACAGAAAAGAGTCAACACATCTTGCCTTTTTTTTTCTAAATATCTAGACACTACAAATAAATCACGACACGTGAAAAATAAATAACACAAGGATTTTTTATTTTCGTATTGAAAATTACCGGTACGCCAGAAGATTTTATTCGACATGATGTTAATTGATCGTTCAAATATACTCTTACTGCAATTAAATCCGATCATGATGACGATTAAATAAAATCAAATTGAATTCAATGAAAAAAGATATTTATAAAAAAATAATGTATTATCAAATGACACTTATGCAATGATAGCTTACCAAACGTAACGATCTACTCGGATGGTTCGAAGCAGAATGAAGTAACAGACTATCGATATTCTTCTATCTCATTTCGAATCGACTTCTATCGATATTCCTCCATCTTATTTCAAATCGACTTTTATCGATATTCCTCCATCTTATTTCGAATCGATTTATATCTACTTATATCGATTACCAATTCTTTATTATTAATAATTATATTTTTTATCTATACGATATGTTGTTAATATGTCTTATTTCAAGATTATTAATTTTTTTCCGAAAAATCGATATGTAATGACATACTTTATATAATAAATATTTCGAAAGTTGGTATTAGTCAGAATTTAGAATTCTTTCAAATTTCCCTATATAAATACACGTTTTTTTTTTGTGAATTTTTGATTTGTAAATTAATGATAAAAAATCTAACAAAAATATTGTTATAACATTTTTTATATTGAAGCAGACTATATAATTACTAATGGGTTCTGTTCTAACGGAAGAACAAGAAAAAATCTTTCATTTATTGAGGTTAGAAAAATGTTGTTTAAGATGTTGTTTACGTTTCACTGGTTTCCACAATGCCAAATATTATCAAGATATGGACAAATTGAAAAATCTTGTATGTTGTTTATTTCTTATTTCTTAGATTAATTATTTTCTATATATATATATATATATATATATATATAGATGCCATTTATTTTGTTTGATTTACCAGGTACAATCTTCAGAAGCGAAGAAAGTAGAAGAAAATGATCTTCCCTGTATCGCTTGCTTAGGTATTCTTCAATCTAAAGTAGAAGAAAGTTTAATAGAAAAAGTAAGTATATTATTTTAAGTATGCATCCGCATACGTAAAGGTATTATGGAAAATAAATATTGTTTTCAGATTAAACAAGAAGTACAAAATGAAAATTATGATTGTTCGACGTTTACTTACGGTTTAAACGTACCTCTATCTCTGCTTCTCAGAGAAAGATCTTTGCATATTTATATTGCCGAAAAGTTAAATCTAACTAAAGATAATTATACCCTTAAATATGGAACGCTTAATGTCAAAGACATATGGAGATGGATCAATCTTTCTAAACTGGAAGATATTATTGGTAAACGTCCTGATCTTTCAACACCGTCTCCGTTTTTAATAGACATTTCTTTTTTATATAAAAATGATGAAAATGAATGTTGTACAATGTAAGTTACATTTTGTATTATTATTATTATTTAAAAAAAACTTAATCTCTCTACAGAAATATTTTCATTTTTCTTTCAGATTAGATCAATATCATAAAATAGTAAGAGTGTTCAAGAAAAGAAAGTACGGTCAAAATAAATGTAGTAGAAATAGCATAGAATCTGCGATGATTAATATAACAGATGAAATGTTTCAAAAGTATTACTCATTTCCACCCGTGCAACCAGATACTTTTATAGACATTGGAAAAGTCTTGTGCACTCACAGTAGTATTTATATAGGAGGTATGTTAGTTATTAATAATCTTCTATAAGAAATAATATATAAGAAATTTAGCATTTTTTATATGTAATTGTATTGCTTTTTTATTAGGACGTTATACTAAGCTTTCTCGACAACTTTCTCAAACGCCTTGGTTCATATACGGTAAAAAGAAAATGGAAACATCTGTGCAAGACATAATATGTGAACCCATTATAAAAGCTGTCGGAGCTAAATGTAATTGAATAATTTCATTTAAAACAAAACAAATGTGAATATATGATAATGTATATATATATATCTGTTATAGCAATCAAATTTCAAGCTTCTGGAAGAGAAGATGTTGATGTAAGAACCCTAAATTCCGGTAGACCATTTGCAATTGAATTAATAAATCCTCGAATTACGAAGATAAGTACTGAACTTTTATCAAACTTGGTAACGATAATCAACGATAGTTCTACGCAAGTTAAGATAACTAATTTGAAATTACTAACAAGGTAAGTGTTGATAAATGTGACAAATTTATTTGTAGGTATAATTCTTTTGTAATTTAATTTGTTTTATTTTTAGGGACGATTTAAAAAGGTTAAAAGAAGGTGAAACTGATAAAACAAAATCTTATCGAGCGCTTTGCATATGTCGTAGCGCACCGCAAAACACGTCGAGCATTGAATTGTTAAATGAGTTAAAAAATGTGGAAATAGTTCAAAAAACACCGATGCGAGTTTTGCATAGACGTCCATTGGCTCCCCGTGTACGTTACATATACAATATGCGCGCTCGATGGGCTAGACCACAAGAATTACTAAATTTACCAAACGCACCCACCGATATCGATAATATGTTTTTTGTATTGGATCTAAGAACACATGCTGGTACTTATGTCAAGGAATTCATTCATGGAGATTTTGGACGAACAAAACCAAGTTTATCAGATCTTTTGAATATCGAAGTAGATATTGTTGCATTGGATGTTATAAGCATTAATTTAGATTGGCCATAAAAGACTATTATCTACTTCCTGCATCGTGCCCTCGTTAAAAATACGAACAATAAAATAATAAATCGAATTGTATGGCACTAATAAGAGAATGTTATAATTTTATTATGTAAAAAGACCATGTATGTAAAAATTTATATTTGTGTTTAATTATAGTGTCTAATAATCCTTTTATATTAAAACTTTTTAGGAATAATTTTGATTTATACTTAATTTGCTAATATATATAGATTGGTGATATGTATAAAAATAGTTGTACATTTGGTTAAAATGAAACATAACAAACGAGTATCAATTGAACCACGAGGTAATGTTCAATATGACGTTTTATCATTTTACGTAAACATAACGTGTGTAAATCATTATGCATTATTCTTATGTTCTTGTATCCAAAAATGTTTCTTTACAGCTGCCAGTGATATTCTTTCTGAACCTTTTTTTTTGATTAACTGAAATTATAAATTCAATTATAAATTCAAATATAAATTCTCTTCTTCCTAGCACTTATAATTATATATAATACCTTTGAAATAAGATCTTTGGCACCGGGTGTTATTTGTTCCGGCCATTGGATATTTAAGGTTTTTATTTTTACATATGTTTCTTGTTGAGAATCGCTAAGGAATGGCGGTCTCCCTACTAGAAATTCATAGCAGAGTATTCCAAGGCACCAATGATCAACGTATATATCATATGTTTGTCCAGTTACCATTTCTGGAGGTAAATAATCCAATGTCCCACATAATGTATTCCGTCTAAAATAATAATACATTTAATAATTATATTGCAAAATTAGTAAATCAAAATAAAATATATATTTGAAACTAACTTTGACGAAGGCGCATGAACTGACCATCCAAAATCTGCCAATTTGACATCACCATTATATGTGAGCAATAAATTTTCTGGTTTTATATCTCTATGGATTACATTATTTTTATGGCAATATTCCAAAGCGTCAGCTACTTGATATGTATACTTAGCCGAACTATAAAAGTAACATACAAAATAATTTATATCATAATTGCAAGTTAAAAATTGAAATTATTCAAAGTATTTACAGATGCTCGTTAAATCTTTCTCCAGGTTGACGCTTTAATTCTTTATATAGTTCTCCTCTCGCAGCAAACTCTAATACTAAGTAAATTCGTTTGTGATCATGAAAGAAAGTTAATAATTGCAGAATGTGTGGATGCCTGTAAAAAAAAAAAAAAAAAAGAAAACAAAGGGAAATGTTTAAAAATCATTTAAAAGATAAAATTAAACGTACTAGATTAATGAACATTAATTTACCGTAAATGCGATTGTATCTCTATTTCACGCATAACTTGTTTCTCAACACGACCTTTTATTAATTCAACCTTATAAAGAGTTTTTAAGGCAATCATGTAACGAGTACTCTTTTCTCTAGCAAGATATACTCGACCAAACTTTCCACGTCCAAGAGGAGCCCCTAATTCAAAATCATTCAAGCTCCATTGATATCTGAAAAATAGACAAAATAAAATTATCAAATTGTTTGATTATATTTGAAAACTCATTTATACTCACTTTGGACCACGTCCTTCGATATGTTCTTGCATTTTATACATCGTATTTTGTGCATTGTCGATGTATTCCAAAGGAATGTCGGAAGGAAACTTAAGATTTTGAAAATTCAAGGCCATTTTTAAAAAAATACCTTTTACTTGTGTATTGTTATTTTTCTAAAATAAAAACAAATTGTGCATATATTATTTAACTTGAAAATTAATGGACGCCAGAGAAAATACTAAATACCTGTTGAAAAGAGTTCTTAAAAGTACGTAGATTTTAGAATAACTTAATTAAAATAAACAAACAACTGAAAAAGTTTCTGAAAATTTCTTCTAACCGATTTACCGTACAACCGACATTTCAAATATCATTGCTATTAGGTACTGTATTAAGATATTCGAATTGGAATGACAATGTGACCAATCGTAAAAAAAGAAAATGAAAAAACCCCAACTAAGACTTAAGTATGATTTGATCACTAGAATAGATGTCACCACAGTTTTTCTGACACCCTAATTTAGGGAATATAAACATCTCATTAAAATTCATGTGAAATTAGTGTGTATTTGAGGCGTGTCTTTTGGGTGTGCGTTATTTTCTACGTTGACTTGTGTTTTTTTAACATTGCACAATAATTCTTGTCAAGAATAATAAGATTTTAATTGAAAAAGTTAATACGGTAAGTCTCTATATTAATAATATATGAAATGTAAGATATATTTGCATAGAGATTAATTTACAAACATACTTTGTTTTTAATGTTTTTATAGAAGAAAAAATAACAATGAATTATGGAAAGAGATCACCAAGTATGGGAACACCTTCGGTTTATTCTCACGTTACATCAAGGAGTAGCGCAAATCTCAGATCTTCTAGATCTGTACGCAGTGTTAAAATACCTTGGTATCAAAAACCAATTTTAAAGCACGCTTATATACTAGACATTCAGAGAGGAGCTATGCTCGTAGCAGTATTTGCATTGGTATCTATTCTACGATGTTAATTTAAGAGGTAAAGTGATGTATTTATATTTTGATAGTTCAATATTCCTTTCCTTAGTGTTTGGCACTTTTCACCATGTGTACGGTAATATTCGACATCTATTGCCTTTCTCAAGCTACGCCTGGTTCTACTCATTACGGATACTATATTATATCGTATGAATTTGTTTATATTGGCAATCAACACGGTAAGTTGTAAGATTATTACTTAATAATTATTGAAATATTCGTTAAATATTAAAAAAATCTGTTGTTTTCAGTTCGTAATGCTCTCATAGTTTTTGCCTTATTCTCTATGATTGGTGGAATAGTCGTTTTTATTACTTCATTGATGCTTATTACCGCATTGCGTAAGGAATACGAAAAGAAAATGGTACCGTGGTTGTACAGTTTTGCTGCATTTACAATATTTCGTCTTTTTGCTTTTCTGTTCTTCAGTATCGTCAATGATTTGATATTTGCATACAATATCATAATATGTTTATTGTGGATAATATTTATTTCATTTTCCGTTTATGGATGGTTAATCGTATATTCTCTATATATTGAACTAAGCGACCTCACTAGATTAGAAGACTTAGCACACTTGAGGGTAAGAATCATTTCATTGCAATATAACCGAAAATTATTTGAGCGAGTCCAATTAAAAGATAAATGAGAAATGTATATATTACTTTGTTTTAGATCGGTACTATGCAATCTTTAAATGCATCGACAACGCACTCCATTGCCGGTTCTAGGCCTACAACGCCGCATAGCACGGTATCGACAATGCCTGTCAATTAACATTTTTATTACATACTGTTCTTATAATGGGAAGTAAGAGAAATTTCCTACTTGTGACCGAATGCATTTTTTACGCATTCAAAATTCTATCGAATCTCAAATATCAATTCCGTCCCAATGTTTATTAAAAATATATTTATAGTATATAGTTATTATATTTAAAAATATCAATAATTAATATTATCACACAATAATACATATTATTGTGACGTTAGTGATATAAAATCATATGTTAAAATAAGTATTATATATATATATATAAAGTATTGTAAGTATTTTGATAAAGTCAGATTTTTATATATACGTATATTTACAAAAGTTTCTATGTATATTGTCAGAGTAGTATAAATAGAGATAGTAGATTTCTGATCGAAATTGAATAAAATACTTGTTAGAAGTTTGCTCGAGTCAATTCATATCGTCGAACAAATTAAAATGATTTCGTTGAAGAATTTTTATAATTTAATGTTTTATTTGTTTCCGGGGCTTTTTACTTTGGCATTCTTCAAATGAAATACTTATAAAATAAATTATAATACTAAATTGCACGCTTATCCATGAAAACTTGGGTAAGGAAATATTTTACAAAATATTTTAAAAATTGTCCAGAAACCACCTAAGTAGAAGAGTATTTTGAAAATATGATGTATCCAATACAATCTATAACACAAAACGATTGAAAAAAAGAATTGAATTATTTGTTAAAACAATAACAAAAGAATGATTATTAATAAATATCTTTTGTAAATACAAATGATATAGGTGATAACAAATAGACTTACCTTTTTAATTTTAATTGAGAACTCTCTAAAGTATCTTTATTTTCCTTAAATAAATAAGTGCGTATTCCTTTCATATACTTATGTAAATATAACTGCCAGTCAAAATTGGCCATACTAAATCTAAAAAGTTGTTGATCTTTCGAATTTAGTCTTGTCCACATATTGTGTACGTTGTCATTAACAAATACCCAATTTCTGGTACAGAAAAATGATAATATCTCGACGAAATTGTTAATTTTGTTAATTGTTTTGCGCATTCTGTAAACAATTCAAATGAAATAATTATTGAGTAATAATTAATGAAAAAGACGAAGAAGAGTAAGCATTATTGCTTTACCTCGGTTTCTTGCCTAAGCAAAATAGGATGATATCAATGAGAGTCGCGGGTAACGTTTGAAAAATGAAAGATAAAATGTTGTATAATAACTTATTTTTGGTTGTTATTAGAGTCGGATACCATATCATATTGCTCGAGGGATACTGACGAATATAAGGATAACAAATATGATGATATTGGTCCCACGTTAGCGGTGCTTCAGTCGATGCTACGACATTATATATGAGCATGTCGTCTCCTTTTCTGTAACGATAATTTATTAGAAAATTATCTAAATGGATAAATTTGAATCTAAAGGAATAACATCGATATTACCTATTAGTATGCATTGTAATGTCCCATGCGGATGCGATAATGGCATTGACGGTAATATCGACGGGTATTATATCAGCGATTTTAGCAGAGTCACAGTACATGACCCTTAAAATACCGCTGGAAGCAGCAGCGGTTATACCGTTTGGTCCATAAATGTTGTCGAGCCATCCTTCTATAGGTTCGTAAGCCGTTGATATAACTGTGATTAACAAACACACAAACAGTAATATCCTATGTCCCCTGGGAAAAGCGTATTACTATTAATTTCTAAATACGAATCGACGACATTTGTGTTTAGGAATGACGATTATCTCGGGATCTTTTTCGCGGCTTAGATTTATTTGGATTTTTTTTAAAAGCTCGTTTCAAGGGAGTCGTTGAAGTTGATTTGGATGTTCCCGAGGGTGTTAAAGATTCAAGAGAGATTCTGCTCATGGCGGCCAGATTTTCCTCGAAATCGGGATAATCTTCGGGATACATGGTTTCGAATGGGACGGTATAAGGAACGATTTGTTTCTTGGAACGTGCGACCGTATAAATGAGAGCGCAAACGAAAAGAATACTCTTGCCGAGAAGTGTAAGAAGAAAAATACCGATAGCCATTGCGATTTGCCATAAGAATGATATGGTCCCGGTAACGAGATACATGCCGATCGCTAAACACATTTTATTATCCCGACTTGTATTTTCTTTCGTGCGTTAGATTTGTGATTCTGCCATTTTCCGAAACAAAAGGACCACTCTATTCGAATAAAAAACAAGAGAAATAACAAAAGAAATATTTTCTCACCTATGGCAGGTCGAACTATTCCTATTGGTAGATTTCCGTGTTTCTCTTTTATCAGACTTTCCGCCATAGCTTTCGTGAACGTATACATATTTGGCCATTTGCTCGTCACGCTGTACAAACGATGTGAGGAATAAGAAATGAGTATAAATTATAACGATGTAGATAATAACACTCTTACTTTTGATATTTATTCTCGAGTTCTTCTTCTGACAATGTCTCCGTTAATCTCAAAAGTTCTTCATGATGAACGGAATATTTGTAGAAGCGTTCTTCGATTTGTTTTTCGAAGCAATTCGCATAAGCAGTGGATACGTGAACCAATGCCTGGAAAAATATTCTTTTATATTTCTTTTTTTTTTAGTCAATATTTCGCGTCGGATTAGATGTATAGAAGCAAAAGCAAAAAAAAAAAAAAAAAAGAAAAGGAAAAAGTGAATAATATTTGCTAAAAGAATCGAGTTTGATCCTCTCAAGATTGAACGTTGACCAACGAGCGTGTATAGTTACTATGTGTTAGAATAACAATACTTTTCAGAGAGATTGTGTAAATATTGAAATAACGTAAATCTAAGAAAAAGAATCGACGAATATTTGTCGAAAGGGATAATACGCGTAATATATATCTATAAAGAAAAAAAAATAACCTTAAGTTTTGGCATAGATTTGCACATTTCCAAAAGATCATTGGTACTTCGAACATTTATGACGGTTGCGAGTTTGAGTTTTTCATTGAATCGGACCGTTGCTGCTACGTGAAAGACTATCGACACCTGGAAAACAGAGAAAAGAACCAGAGAAAAGTAGTCAAAAATAAGAATAACGAGATAACATTAGAAAAGATGATTATCGAAGACGGTCACCTCATTTTCAAGCATTTTACGATCTTTAGTCGAAAGTCCTAGTTTTTCTACACCACAATCTCCACATACAGCCACGATTTTGTCACGATACTTTGGTACCTCTTTCTTCATCCGATCGAACACCTGAAAAACCATTTTAGAGTTTTTAGAGAGCAAGCCCTAAAAGTTATTATAGTTATACACTTACACAATCTTCGAATAGTTCTTCTATCCTAGCTTTTGCATTTTTTTCTTTTTTGGATCGTATCAATAAATAAATGAATGAGATGCCAGGACAACTGCGTAAAAGTTTCTCTATCAAGATTTTTCCTAAAAAGCCTGTTCCACCTAAAGGACGGAAAGAAAAAAATACAAATTAATTATAAAGAATATGAAACAATCGAAAATGTTTGTAAGAGATACTCTACCGGTTATTAAAATCTTCTGTTCCATGTAAAATTCTTGAATCGGTGTTCCTCGTCGTTCTTTTTCATTGATAACCTTGTCCAAAATATTATTATTATTATTATTAGTATTATTATTATTATTATTATAATTCGTTTCGCCCAAATGATTTAATATAGTGCTCATCTTTCCTTCCTGTGTAAAAAAGGAGATAAAAGAATAAATAAGATTTATACAGAGTCTCTCGGTCCAAGGTAATATAATGATCTAATGTTAAACGTGTTAATTATGCAAATGAACGTTTCAAGTAGCTTTAAGAAAATTTCGAAGAAAAATATGATCAAGAGAACTTGAGAGAACGTAATCTCTATGGAATCATTGATTGATCACGTAATTTTAATTGAATTAATTTGTATTACAAAATAGAAATGAATAAAAATATGAAAATTCAAATTGTAATTGAAATATGAGAAATATTTTGTAACGATTTTTAAAGTTGTCAACACATGTTGTGAGCAAGTTATTTTGTCCCTATTATTTTCTCTCTATGTTTTTTGTTTATTCTTTTTGGACATGACATTGCGTCAATCGGTTATGATTGCAACTTGACTGCGCAATTGATTGAAATATTAGTCTGTGGGTCAAGGGTATGTGGAAAGTTATCTCTCAGAAGTTCTCGACGAAACTGTCGGCTAATCTCGGTACGTCCGGCTCGATATTAAACTACGTTTACTATGTTCACCGTTACTTAAAACGAACCATGGGTATCCATCGTTTTTGTTCAGTCGAGTCTTTCACTAAACTTTACAAATTTGCAGTTACCGTTTTCAAATAACCGCTCGAGTAATTCAATATACTAGACGATAAGATTTATTATATGCATTAATTTGCGTTAATATGCGTTAATATGCGTTAATATGTGTTAATATGAGTTAATATGCGTATGCACGAATATTACGCAAGGATCAAAGAAACGTCGATTAAAAATTCGGTCGAGTTATTTTCTGTGTGCGACTTATGAATCGTTAATGCATCGTGAAAGTGTTCTACGTATCGATAAATTTTCTTAAATGGGGGGCCGTACCTCTTTGTCTCGTATAAAACAACTATGAACAAAATTTCATTCCTTTTGACATTGCGAATAGATTCGTAACCTGTTTTTGTCTCGAGAATATCTCAAGTAGTCCACAATAAAAGTAATCAAATAGAGGAAGAAAAATAACGGTACAAAAAAAAAAGATAGAAAAAAAAAGTAAAAAAGAAAAAAAGTCGGTCATTCGTTCGTTCATTTGCGTGTGATACTTTATTCTCGTGTGAGGAATGTGCACCGTTTGTATTTTTCACTAACGGGGTATCTCGTATCATACCACCTCATATTTTTTTCTTCGTTGTCAATAGTTCAACACCGTTTGTTGACCGAACTGAGAGAGAAAAGTTGTTTTTTCTTCTAAAACGAGTTAGGTAAAAAAAGAAGAAAGAAAGAAGAAAGAAAGAATGAAAGAAATAAAAATACACCTACTTGATAAAATATGATTCCTTGTCCTCCTGATTTAAATCTCAACAATGATATCGAAGAGAGGTTCGAAGAGAGGTGATAGAAGGCGAACTCGTATGAGTTCGGTAAGAAGTTTCGAAGAAAACTGAACAGCGAATTGATTTCACAAACACTAAGTCCGCTTTTGTACTCACCTCCTTCTCCAATTATAACTCCTTCGTCTTCTTCGTCTTCTTCCTCTTTTTCTTCTTTTTCTTCTCCTTCGAATATTGTTCTTGCTCGTCTTCTTCAAGGAAGGACAAAGATCGACTCCACATTGACTTTTGATTTCTTTAATCCTGATAATACGTGTACCTACTTTCCAGTTCTAGGCTCTCCTTCTCTCTCCCCTTCTCTCTCCCCCCTTCTCTTTCTCCTCTTTCCCTCTTCATCTTTCACATCGAAGTTTTGCTTACGATGGAATATCATTTGTTTTTATTCATCCCTCGATTTTTTTTTTCGATAAACTTGCAAGATCCTATTTCGTAATTTCGTATGACCTTCTATATTCTCTTACCTTTTTTAAAGTAATTATACAACTTTCTCATTTATCCCGCATATTAAATATATGCTTAGTAGTATTTTCAAAATTATATCATACTTTTTTTTTTCTATGCGATAGAATTGTAATCGCTAAAAATGGAAGATTAATTATTATTCATTGTCGATGTATATTACCATGTATGTATTGTGGGCAAAATATCATATAAATTATAAAACAAACAAAATTTTAGATTTTGCGTCATTATTTTCCAAATGATTGAATGAAAAAATAATGAAATCTATTTATCTATTTGTTCTTTAGTTCATTTTCAATTTTTCTTTTACTCTTTGCGAATTTGTTAGTCTAATTTGCCTAAATATAAGAGCTAATTTAAAGTTATTAAATGTAATTAATTTTATTAATATTTGTATATAATTTTTATACCACTAAACAGCAATTTCTTTAATATATTCATATTTGAAAAAGACATAATGACTAAGACAAAATTTATTCACGAAGGTCACCTGTGTTCAATTAATAACTTAATTTATTACTTTTTAGTATATAAGAATAATTTAATTTTTTATATATATTACTTATTAGCACATAAGAAAAATATTATGTAAATATTAAATGTAAAATTAATGTATATATTTGACATATTATTATTATTATTTGACATTAGGAACTCGAAAGTTCATTGCCGCAAATACCAAATTTTCCCGTCCCTGAGCGCGATCCTTCCATTCACAGTCTTCATATCCTATTTCTTTTAGGTCCTTTCTACTATTATCCTCCCATCTACGTCTGGGTCTACTTAGTAGTCTTTTCCTGTTTGGTATATATATATATAAAAAAACATCTCATTGTATTTTACGCCAACTCATTCTTTCTAACTATCTCTAGTAGTTGTTTCAATCATTATTTTGAACGTCATTACAATCGTCATTCTAGGTGCCATAAATGTAATAACATAATTCCTTTCGTTAGTAGTCCAGTCAAAATAGCCCTGAAATCGGGTTTTTGAGCTATACGGCAGAAAAAATATGGAAATTATCAGAAAAATGCGTACAATACTGTGGGCAAAGTAAAAAAGTTCTCAACCACCGGGAAAGGGGTGAAAAAAATTAAAAACTA